TAAAGTTTAGCTAATTAGTTTAATTTCTTATTTTCTAGCTTAAGATAGAGCCCAAGTGAAGGCTTTCCTGTAAGCCCAAGAGGGGCTGCCTGCTAGCATTTCTTTGAGTGAATAAAAGGGTATTTCAAGCCTTCTTTGGCCTTATATTTTATAGTTGCAAGAAGACCAGTGAATAGTTGCTAGAGACTTCCTTAAGGTTGAAAAAGAGGAGCGGAAGGGGGTAGACGTTAGCCGCTCTTTAGATTTTTCCGCTAAATAAATGCTTTTGACATTTCCACACTGTATAAAAATAAACCAATGGAACTGAAAAATATTCTGCTTAGCAAGCACAGTAAAAGTAAGTGTTCATAAACAAATCTCGGACAGAACATCAAAATTAATTATCTCTGCAAAATATCGATTCCAAATACTGCCGCACGTTGGATATGAAATTGACTAAACCAATCATTCATTATTTATTTGTGTTATCTTGCTGTTTTATTTAAATGATAGATGACAGGGGCAATCTTTACTCCTTTAAACTGAGGTCATGTGTTTTATCCAATTACCAAAAGTTTACATTTGTATCTTAGGCTGTGTTCAGACCAGGGCGTAATGGGCATAAGCGGTTAAAGCAGAGCTGCGTCACATAATCTAGTTTAAGGCTTGTGGCACAAGGTTCCAAGTTTTTCATTATTGCGCAATACGTGTGCCGTAATTCTTCCCTACGTGATATTATGCAATCGGAATCAACAGCTGCCGGTATTGGGAGAATAAAGAACTAAATAACTTTGGGTTTTTCATTCTAATTTTCAACAGACTGCATTAAGTTTCTAGTAGTCAAGGACACGTAAATTAATTATAACTTTATAAAGTATTAGCACAAAAAAAGAAATGGCTTAAATAATTTACATTTAAAGAAAGTTTGAATAAATACAAGCAAATAAATATGGAGCATTTTTTGTAAATTTTAATTCCCTTAAGGTCACAAATGTTATATTTTATTATACACCCATTCTGTATTATTAATTTTACAATTTTGATGTCATCTTACTAGACCTAAAATCCCGAATACTCTGGATCTCAGACTTAGTACTACATATTAATTATTACATTATTAGTACATAACATATCACAGGGTTCATAGCCACATTTAAGTTAAAAAAATAAGCATCTATAAGCACTTTTCAAGCGCATTTTGAGAAAAAAAATAAGCACCTGTCTAATTACATTATAACTTTATAAATTATTAGCACAAAAAAAGAAATGGCTTAAATAATTTACATTTAAAGAAAGTTTGAATAAATACAAGCAAATAAATATGGAGCACTTTTTGTAAATTTTAATTCCCTTAAGGTCACAAATGCTATATTTTATTATACACCCATTCTGTATTATTAATTTTACAATTTTGATGTCATCTTACTAGACCTAAAATCCCGAATACTCTGGATCTCAGACTTAGTACTACATATTAGTTATTACATTATTAGTACATAACATATCACAGGGTTCATAGCCACATTTAAGTTAAAAAAATAAGCATCTATAAGCACTTTTCAAGCGCATTTTGAGAAAAAAAATAAGCACCTGTCTAATTACATTATACATAACTGCATAACCTTAAAAATTAGATTTGTAATTTAAAATATGAGAAATGCAGTATTTATTAAGAGAGGATAAGCATTACCTCAACCATCGAAAATAATTACTTTTTTTAAATTTTAAATAACAGTTCAATTTAAAGAACTAGTTTACAATGAGAAAAAAAAAAAAAAAAAAAAAAAAAAAAAAAAAAAAAAAAAAAAAACATGCAGAACTAAACTATATTACAAGATTTAAAGATGAAATTTCAGTTCAAAATAGAGAAAATAAATACTAATAAGGCATATTTATTGTATTCGCTTGGAACCTAATAATAAATACAATTTATTTTTCCACTCATATTGATATTTAAATAATTTAAATCTAAATTCTGAACATTTTCTAAGTTTTCATTGTATATCAGTTTTCCCTTAACAGATATTGCAAGCAAAGTAATTTAAGTAAAAAAGGAGGAACATTTCTGAAATCAGAAGACAGAAATTTGCTTCCTGCAGTCATTCTTTAACAGTAAAAGCTTAACTAACCCACATACTTGGAAATTGGCAAATATTCAGACAGTCAAGCGTAACTTGAAAAAGAGGAGCGGAGGGGGGTAGACGTTAGCCGCTCTTTAGATTTTTCCGCTAAATAAATGCTTTTGACATTTCCACATCGTATAAAAATAAACCAATGGAACTGAAAAATATTCTGCTTAGCAAGCACAGTCAAAGTAAGTGTTCATAAACAAATCTCGGACAGAACATCAAAATTAATTATCTCTGCAAAATATCGCAAACATTATTGCACAATACGTGTGCCGTAATTCTTCCCTACGTGATATTACGCAATCGGAATCAACAGCTGCCGGTATTGGGAGAATAAAGAACTAAATAACTTTGGTGTTTTTCATTCTAATTTTCAATAGACCGCGTTAAATTTCCGGAATAGAATCGTTCTTCACTTGGGTTGGTAGACCGCAGAACTTTTAGTTCTATTCATTCCAGATTGGAAAGTGACAAAAAAAAAAAAAAAAAAAAGAGTTTGTTGCTTGTTTTGCAGCGAACTGTAACAGTTTCAATATTCTTCATACATATGCTCATAATATAAGCATAATGATCATAATAAACACGAATATGAACTGACCAAGCGGAACGAGAATGTAAATTATTAAGAAATTGATAGAAATTCAAACATGTGTAGTATTTGAATGGGGGAAAAGAACGCCGAATGTAATTTTCTACTGCTTTTGCAATTCTTTGACCAATCACCTATCCGTACTCTTCGTGCACACCAAAAGTTATGTTAATGCAGAGAAAGGGGGAAAAGCTATTTCCGGAAGTATGATTCACCATCTGACATTCCACATTAGGAAGAAAAGTTGTTTATTTAGTTTCGGCTTTGGTACGGGGAAAAAGAGCGCGTTCATTAAGCAAAAAATAAGCATTAAAAAACAAAAAAAAAATAAGGGCTTTAAAGAAAAAGTAAGCACCTATAAGGGCCTTTATATTTTATTTTCAAATATAAGGACTGCTACGAACCCTGTATTAGTTATAATACATTACAGCATTTATAAAAGATATAACTCATATTCCATTTTTTAGTACGAGAAAACTTGAAGGATCTGGCAACATATTTAAAAAGAAAGAAAACATTGATGATGTTCAGAAGATAATTAATAGATAGATCAGTTACACAGCAAAAACTTACTTAAAGTGCTTTTTGGCATAATTCCAGTCATGTTAAAACCAGTCCAGTCATGTTTTACATCATGAAATGATGTAAAAATAAATAGTAGCAGAGAATGATGACTGTAAACAGAGTTTTAAGAGGATTTTAGGTATGGCTGGAAGTCTCTACTTTCCTTGAAAGCTTAGTATAATATAAACTTTCTTGGTTAAGCTAGTATACCTGCATTTGTTATGAAGTACGTACTCAGATTTCTCTAAATTTCTGATTAGATTACATACTCAGAAATCATCCTTGACAAGGTACTTGGCTTAAGGAACATACAAATGCTGTGAAACGAGAAACACTTAGCGGTATATAATGAAAAAATCTGATAGGTTGTTTGAAATCATTCATAAGAATTCACCCATATCACAAATACAGTGGCACCTCCGTATATGTCCTGTTTGGAAATGAAAGATTTTCTTTAGTATGTGATTAGAGTTCAATGAGTCACGGCTGCTTGCACTACATTTGTTTTCATCATTCAAGGCAATGCTACAACTGTCGATAAGTTTCAGTATGCCTGCTGCTACTATTCAGTAAACAGCATAGGCTATATCTCTGAATTTTCAAGTGAGATTTTTTTTTGGTTTTTTCCTCCCAAATTAAAAATTTATAAATATAAAATGAAAGATGGAATAAATGATGGTGAAATCAGCAGTAGATGCCAAGGTGTTGGACATCCACATGTCATCAAAGAAAAAGGACATCCGAGACTGCCCCAATTGGTACAGCAAAATCGGTGCCAGACAGTGGCTCACCTGACAGCCCAATACAATGCAACCCCAAGTGCAAGTGTTTTGGAACATACAGTTCAACAGACACTGTTGGATATGGAACTGTGCAGCAGACACACATAAGTGGTCATGTGCTTCTGTTGACTAAGCATCATTGTCAACTACTCCTACAGTGGGCCTCGGAATGTTGAGACTGGACCATGGATAAGTGGAAGATAATTATGGTCGTGACAGGGTGACATCTTCCAAGTAAACAGCAGCTTCCCCCCCCCACACACACACAGGATGGTAGTGACCGTAATATTGCAAATTCATTAACAATGAATTCATAAGATGAGTCTGGCAGTGAAGAACATTTTTAGGATCACCAGGGAGTTGAAAAGTATGAAAATGGCATGCATATCCGGGACTTATTTACTGAAAACCATAAGCCAAGTATGATGTTGTCTGAGACTGTAGGAAATAAGGTTGCTATTAAACCGGCTAATGTTGCCAGGAGGGTGAAATCAATTACCAAACAAAGATCAGACATTAAAGCATCTTGTAAAATTGCTTTTGATACAGACAGCACAAAAACAAGTATATTTTCATGTGCAGCATTTCATTTTAGTATCAAACAGTGTTATAATAATTAAAGTAGGATTTTTTATAAGAACAGTTTGATTATTTTCCTTTTATTTCTTACTAACTACAAAAGTTTGCTTGGTATATGTCCATGGATCAAATCACAAACATAATATAGATGACGAAATCCAAACAGGTAACTTCTCTATTGCAGATTTTAAAAAAATGTCGGCATTAATGGGTTATAATACAAATTATAAATGTTCATACGATAATAATCTTATGAACCTTTAAGTTATTAATTGGGTAATTAAGAAAAATTACAAAATTAATAACTTAAAGATTATTACCATTTATAAAAGCAAAATTGTGTCAATTTAATCTTAGGAGTAAGTCAAAAAATAAGTCTTCAAAAACTCATCAATGCTTTTATTATAAAAAAGTAAAGCGTACTGAGATATAAATATTCAATGAGGTGTTACATTTAATCTCTCCTGAGGGGGAAACTATCTTCTTTGATTCCTTCTTTAGTAATTATGTTCATATACACACTATCCCCAGTATATATATCTCTTTCTGCAGCAGAAATGAATACATCTTTCACTATAGCTACAGCTTTCTCAAGTGACAGAGGAGGTGGCTTAGTGTAGCCTTTCATGTTTTTATAACCAATCTGCAAAGAACAAAATTACATGCATATCAAATTAATATAAATTTGATTATAAAATAATCACACATTAACAAACTAACTTATAATACATATTTATAAACTAGTTTCAAATATCACAACAGTCATCCTTTACATTGAGATATTAGATGAGTATATTGTGACACTAGAAGCTTTGCATGTATTATACAGAAAACTTTAGTCTTTAAACAGCAATAATAATAATAAAATAATTCATACATATACATATATAAATAAATATATATACACATTGACGAGCCAAAACATTACAGCCATTACTAACTTTTTCAATGAATTTGTCTGGGTAACATGGAGGGCAAGTGATTAAATGGGAATGGTATTTAACTGCAGCTTGAATCATCCTTGCTTATGCAAGAATCAATCATTTACTTTTTGCAAGTGATGGGAAAGGCTGATGGGATTTATTTATTAAGCAAATTTGATAGAGGGCAGATTGCAATGGCCCATAGCTTCAAACGAGTATCTCCAAAACTGCACATCTGGTAGTTGTTCACGATCAGCCACTGTTAGTATTTATGCAAAGTGAATAAATGATGGTGAAATCAGCAGTAGACGCCAAGGTGTTGGACATCCACGTGTCATAAAAGAAAAAGGACAGAGACTGTCCCAATTGGTACAGGAAAATCGGTGCCAGACAGTGGCTCACCTGACAGCCCAATACAATGCAACCCCAAGTGCAAGTGTTTTGGAACACACAGTTCAACAGACACTGTTGGATATGGAACTGTGCAGCAGACACACATTAAGTGGTCATGTGCTTCTGTTGACTAAGTACCATTGTCAACTACTACTACAGTGGGCCTCGGAATGTTGAGACTGGACCATGGATAAGTGGAAGATAATTATGGTCGTGTTACGGTGACATCTTCCAAGCAAACAGCAGCTTTCCCCCCACAGGATGGTAGTGACCGTAATATGTTTTGGGAATGTTCTCATGGGCAGCTCTGGGACCTTTAGTATTGGTAGAACAGACCATGAAAGCTGCAGATTATCTGAATGTAACTGTGAATCAGATAAACTCTTTGCCTTCTCAACTGGAATTACAATCCTTTAGCAGAACAATATCCCATGTCACAAGCCTCGAATTGTCTTGGAGTGGTTCGAAGAGCATAAGGATGTATTCAAATTAATGTTCTGGTCACCTAACTTGCTGGATATTACACCAATAGAGCACATTCAAGATATCATGGAGCGGCAGCTCAGATCTCAAACACTGTCATGTCAAAATATTTCGACTTTGCATTACTGCTGCTTAGACATTTGGTATAACCTGTCTCCAGTCGTCTACCAAGAACTTGCAGCAGGCATGCCAAGTTGAGTTGCAGCTGTTTAGCAGGCCAAAGGTTGCACAATGCGTTATTGAGTAGGTAGTCTTAAGTGTTTTGGCTCATCAGTGTATATACATGTAGTGCCAAAGTTGAACACCAGATGGCACTATGCTGCACCTCATGAAAATTCTGTAATGTATCCAGTTGGTAGTTGGACTTGAGATGTATTGAAAGAAAGATGATGACTATATTCTGTTAAAAGTTTATTGTATTTGTGAAAATGTACATATGTTTCAAAGTAATTAAATGTGTTGTCCTATTTAAAGAAATTCTATAGATGTTCATACTGCCCACAACACAGTCTACAGATATATTATATAAATAATAATCTGATATAAAAAGGTGCAGTATAAATTTGTTTTAAGTTTTATGATTTTTATAATACACAAATCAAATTATTAGTACAATGAATCACTGTTATTTAAGAGGCTTTTAAGAAAATGTTACTATATCAATAAAAATCATGAAGAAAATAGTGTTATTTAAGTCTTTCTTTTTTTGTCTGTAGTCATAACAACTTAATATATCTGCACTTAATGCAGAATGAAACTGCAAAATGTGTCAGAGATCATAATTCCAAATTGGAATTTTTACATACCAACAAGAAGAAAATTTTCATCTATTACACAGCATTGCATAACTTTTAAATATAAGCAAGACTAAAATATTAATGTGCGAGAAAGAGAATGCAGGATACATATATATGAAATCGAGAAGCTAGCATTTTATGAAAAATTTTCATTCATTTGCGTGTACAAACCAATGTTTAATAATTTAATATTATATATTTTCTTCACTAATGTTATTTTCCAAGTTTAGCTCAGCACATTGAAGCAATACACAGTACTGCTGAAGCAGCTATTTTAGCAGTCTTCAATAATTCATCACTAAACACTTGTTCGCAGCACGGTTTTAAGTTATTATTAAAGATTTTTTAAATTCTTATTTGACACATGATTCAACTTCTATTGAATTATTTTAGTAAAACTAAATAACTTCTCAGAATTTGAGCTTTTGTAATAAAACATAATTAAAATTACGACATAAGACAATTTATCAAAAATTTAAGAACACAACGGAACTCTAACCAAGCTTTCACATTCCTTGATTGTAAAAAATGCATCTTGCAGGTGCAGATAGAAACTACATATTTCACGTTTGTCCAGGGTTTTAAAGTCCTTACTTTAAAATAGAAATAAAGTTACAGAGTAATATTTTGAAAATTTATTCATATTTACTCAAGTGACCCTCCACTCATATGCATTACAGGGTGAAGCAGCAAATACTATGAGCAGAAGTTGGGAAGAAACAACAGTGAAGGCACCATGAGACTCATGCAAGCACAGGGATTTACTTTGTTAGAAACTGAGAGATATACAGAACAATCATAAGCAGCCATAAGTGATACCCCAGTCAGCACTTTGAACAAAGTGCCAAGAAATGTATGTCAACTTCAGTACTGGAGAACATAGACATTTGTAATATATTTGGGGAAAGGATACACAACTTTGGTCACTTTTGTTGTAACTTTGTAATTCCACAAGTTAATACTGCACTCTAATGGGGGGGGGGGGGGAACCTAGCAATAAAATTAAAAATGATCTTTTCAGATTAAAACTCAGGAACTTTTGAACTGTATTGTCTTATCTATGTTTAAAAAGTTGTTTATTCACCAGACACACAGTTATTTACATAAAGTAAAAAAAAAAAAAAAAAAAAAAAAAAAAAAAAAAATGGTACTTAGAATTAATGCAAAAAGTGCCAAGTGTTTTTACATGTGCCTATGTTTTTCATACTAAAATAAACATCTAAATCACCCTGTAAGATCTTAGATATCATTAATATACAAGGTAAAAATTTATTATTTCAAAATATTTACTTTGAACAAGAATAATTAGTTTGAGGAAAAAATAGTTTGGATTAATATTCAGATATTTTGTCCACATTTATAAACTTACTTGATTGTCCAATAAAGGTTGCAACAACTGACAGGCTGATCCAACAGCTCTGTATGAAGTTGTATCCTTATGTCCGACAGAATCATACGAATAAACCACACCTTTTCCTGTAAAAAATATTTTACTTTCATTTATTTATATATAATAACAATTAATTTCAATTTGATTATCTCCTATGAAATAAGAAAATGCAATGGGATATATTTTTAAGGTAAGATACTAATGAAACCTAATTAAAAGTGTAAAACTTAGTAATGCAAAGTAAAAGTGTAAAATGTATATAATTTAAAGAAAAATTTTAAATACAATAAATAACATTTTACTAGAAAAAAATGTTGCCAATTATATAGAAAAATCTTGACTTTTCAAGAGGGTCAAGAACAGACTCTTCATAAAATCACTAAAAATTCAATTCAATCACATTTTGTCTCCCTTACATTTTTCAACAAAATGTAAAAAATTGCAAAATAATATAATTTTTGAATTTAAATCTTTGATATTCAATCAACACATATGAAATTCCTTGACATGTTGTAAGACAATAAATGTGTGTGCATATATATTACTGATTAATCTAATAAACAGGTCAAAATTAAAAGTGGACTTAAATTTTGTGCCATTACTGTGCTAAGATTATAATATAAATTTTAATTACTAACACAAACGTGTGCATATATATATATATATAAATTATACATTTTCTTATTCAATTCATTAGAGCAGTGCAGCTCCTACACTTGCCTTTTTTACTGAAGAAAAATGTTAGTTAAACATTTAGAAAAACAAAAGACTCTTTTTACTGCTTTAAATAATAATAAACAGAATAAATTGCGTTTGCGAAAAACAAGCAGCGTAAAACAGTTGCAAAATCAATCATAATCTTTACTGCTTTAGAGATACTATGGTTTGAATACCTATTGTTTCTTAAATATTAAAAAAAAACTTGCAGAAGCAGATATGTATTTAAAAATCAAGTTACATTAGCAGATATACGAAATGAAAAAAAAAAAAATATTATTACCACATGGTAAATAAGTACGAGACTTCCTAAATAAAAAATAAAATACTCACTCATAAAATCAACTTACCTTCTTCGTCCAAACCAGTTACAATATTATGCACATAATATGGGAAAAATCGCTTGTAATACAATAATGATGTCATCAGTTGTGAAACAGCAGGAGTACTCATTTCTTTGTTATGTTCATGTTCATACATCTAAAATATTTAGAATTAATTTCAAAAACAAAAACTATCCACTTTACAATTTCAAAACAGATAAATTATGAATAAAATGAAGAACAGGGGGAAAAAAGATTAAAAAGAATAATAGTGGGCTAAAGATTAAATTAGATTAATGGGAAATTACAACAAGATTCTTTCAGGTTTTGAGATAAAAAAGTAAAATCTCAGCTGGGGGTGGGCAATGGGAAAAATAAAATTTAAAAAAGATTTTTAATTTTCTATTATGCCCCAAAAGATGTTTTTTAACTTTTTGTGTGTTATCTTTATTTATAAAATATCATGCTCTTCATACTTAAACACATAAAATTCAATTCAACAGCAACATTACAAAATATTTAAAAATAGCACATCTTTAGAAGTTCCAACAGACAGTCTCACGCACTGGAGATAAAAATGTTTTTTTCCCGTCCATGTTGCCGTTGCTCGCTTTGAAATCGCGTAGTTTGTTAATAAAAAAAAATTTTTTTTTTAACAAAGTTTTACAAATTATGAAATAGATAATAAAACAAATTTGAAATTAAAAATTTGGGATTCCAGGTGCCCACGTTGGAGTGGAGGATTACATTATTCAAAATTTGATGGTCATAGGTACTGTTGTTCTTTCACAATGCGAGAAACATCCATACATTCTTGCAGAATTTTCATGATTTAATTTCTTTAAATATAATACAGGGCGATATTTAGTGGCAACAATTTTAAAAGTGAAATGAACATTCAGAATGATTCGACGCAAAATCGCAAAACAAAAACAATAATAGTCCCTCAGGGACAAAGCCTGTTTGGACTAAAAAAAAATGGGGGGGGGGGGGGAGAAGGGGGAAAAAGAATACATGTATTGTTTTATACACTTGCTTTAACGATTTTCCTGAATAAAAAAAATGGGCACCTTTTTTACTGTTTACTTGAAAATCATGTTGTCATTAAGAGGTTAAGGAACTCTCCCTGCTGCAACATCTCAATACTGGATTAAGTTTGGTTTGACAGAAAGCACTAACTTAATAGCAGAAAAACAAGCAAGAATTAAATTACTCATCTAAAAAACAGTTAAATTTATTGTCATTAACTTTATCTCTACAAGTGCTTAAAATATTAAAAATTTGATTTGCCACTTGTATTTATGCCTCTTCATCTGTATATAAAGGAATAAATATAAAATGGTATCAACGTCATGGAACTTGAAATTTGTTATAATGTCTAAACCTCCATTCAGACTAGGGCTTTATAAACATAAGAGGAATAAGTCGAGTTTCATTGCTAGGCAACAGACTTTGCTATATCACAAAAACTGGTTTAAGGATTTTGCCTAAATGTTTTAATTTTTCAACTTTAACCTAATTTGACATAACAGCAGACAAATCAAAACAAAGCAAACATGAACTAACATTCAGTTAGCAGTTTCACTGAGTCATCTGCATGCATGTGCAACTTTACTTTCCCCGACTGACCATGGCTTATCTTGTTAATCAATGTGAATGGTCTTAATGATTTTTCACCTTATGCCATAAAACATTCATCTGAACAAAGCTAAAGAAACCATCTGGGACTATGCACAATCAACTATTCTCATGCTGCTAAAATTAACAAATCTTTCTGGATGGTTTATCTATTTTAAATATTTAACTGCATTTAGCTCTCTAAGTTTAAAAAGGGCTAAATATAAATAAACTTTCTGTAGTCCACACTTTTAATTCTTTTTTCACTGTTAAGCTTTATGTCTCCATTTTTTTACTAAAAAAGTACTAATATGGAAAATCATACTTCCCTTTGATGAAATCTCATTGTTCATCACAAACTATTTAAGATAGATATATCTGAACTCTATTTGCTTATTTTCATTAACTTGTCTAGACTAACATTTTTACCAAAATTTATTTAGATGAACAAGTTACAGTACTTTTTATAGCTGCACGATTAATTTCTTCAAATATGGATTATTATTCGAAATATCCAATGTCTCGCATACCTTCATTCTAGCTTCAAGAATCCTAGTAAAAGTCAAAACATCACACCAGCATCCTGCAGAACCAAGAACAGTTTTATTTGATCTGAAATTAAAATTAAAATTATGTTATGTAAGGTGGCATCACACATATATAACAGCAATTTATTTTGTGTAAGGCAGAAAACTGAAGACAACTTCACTTTTAAATGGGATAATTTTAATAAGCAAAGTTGTTTAAGTAAACAGGGTGCTGATTTTCCTTAAGATAAATAGCTAAACCATATTTTTAAATTTGAAATTATCTATAATTCCCAATAATTATATAATAGCATTTCACTGCTTTGAAGCTGTCACCTGGAAGGCAAAATATGAATAAATAATTGCACTTTCATTTATGATTTCCCACATAATACATTATATTTAGTGTTGGATTATGGAAAAACATACAACAGTTATCTACCTAAGAGAACGATGCCTATCTGAAAGATATTTTAAGAGAAACTGGTTTACATCTCCATAACATGCAGGGGAAGAAAACTCGCAGGTAGCCAGACCATTCGCCTGGATTTGAACACAAGTCAAGCTATCATTATTCAGCTCTTTTATTCAGTCATTGGTGGGCTATTAAATTTAGGAATAAATTAAATAACAATGATGTATTTCTGAATTTCATTAATTCAGAGATTATGTTATGTTTTTTATTACTAGCAAGTTGGATTGGTTGATAATTTGAAAGATTATCTACGGTTGGTGAAACTGCTGCCTCTAATGGATGTATTTCATAAGTGAAATAAATCTTAATCATTAGGAAAACGTCAAAAATGGTATTTTACTTACAAAATTATCAGGAATTCCTTATTTCAGAACAAATTAATTTTGTTAATTGCATTTGCATCTATTTTTGATGTGTTTTCTATACTCTTTAAAAGACATTTCCAATACAGAAGATTTAAAAATATTAGAAGTATTTTCATTCAATAATTATCCCCACTAAAGTTTTCAGAGAAGTTTTGAAGATTACTTTCTTGAAATATACGGCATTTAAAGTAATTTATGGCCATCCAAAAGAGAAACAGAATTAATGGCATTATACGACATCCGTTAAAAGTTTAGGAACTTTTTAATAACATGCAAATGTGATTTCACACTGATGTCCGGTGTGAAAACCTGAATGTTAGTGACATGAGTAAGATTCTTCTTATTTATCGAATACTTTAACTGCAAGTCACTGCAATATTTCATTTTGTTGATGAACTTCTTCCCTCAAATGCATGATTTTTCGAAAGAGATTGATTTCATGAACAACATAAAATTTTACATTAAACTTTTAAGTTGTATACAGTATTATGATTGGTTTATGCAATTTTATAATAGCTAAGAACCAACGAATGATGATTACCATTTAGTTTGCTTATGATGAAATTTATTAGGATTACAATGATGAAATCATGCATTCAAATTAATGACTGATTACATGAGAAATCACTGATGATTCTATAGCTTTTCAACTGGATCATGCCATAATATTTTGACAAAAGCAAAATATCGAAACTACCGAAAATTTACCCAACATCTGCTACTCAGGGTCTGAAAAATAATTGTATTACAATCTACTAGGAACTTTTGGAAAAAGAAAAATCACCGGTTGTGAGATATGTGTTTATGACACTGTTACTGAAACAAAAATTCATTCTTCATAGTGAAAGTCATATTAACAATCTTTTTTGTCAGCAAGGGTGAAAAACACAAATTTTCCAGAAGGACAAAAGAAGAATTATAGATAATATCTAGAAGTATTAAGATGACTAAGAGAAAACATTCGAGAAAACAAAAAACACCTGAACTGAAAACAAAAATGTTTACTTCATCACAATGTTCCTATACATCTATACTCTTTTCAATTGTTTTTCTTTGGGGGGGGGTTCAAAACATATAAAACTGTTCTCCAGTCTCCTACTCTCCTGGACACTTCATCCCATTTTCCCAAACTGAAATCAACTTTGAAATTCTACTCTTAATAATTAGGTAAAATTTCATTTTCATCACATTTTCATTATTTAAATTATAATTTTAATATCCAGAGAAACTGAAAGTGATAATCAAATATTAACAATCCAAATAAACATTTTTAGGTAATGTTTATATTCAGCACACAGAATGATACAGCAAAAATAATTATACAGAATATTAAGCAAAATATATTTCATCAGTAATTTTAGCTAAAGTATGAAACACGAATCATTTTAATACATGCAATATGATGGAAGTAAAATTAACCATTTACGGCAATTTGTGGTAGCTAGGGAAATTATCACATACATACGATGTCTTTCCAAAAACTCAGTAATTCATACTCAGTAGTATTATATACTAAATTTGCTATATTAAAGCAATATGTTTTTTATAGTACTTACAATTTAAACAGTTTTGGTTGATTGCGAGAATAAATTGAAAAACCAGAACTCAGCCTAGTATCTGAAGCAATAACAGCAAAGTCTTCTCCAGAGACGGCAACAATACTCCTATTAAAGAAAATTCAACTAAAATTGAAATAAAAATTAAGATTGAAATATTTGAATATCTTAATCATACAATAAAAACAACTTAACTTTACATTATGAATGAAGATTTCAAAAATTAAAACAACAAGAGGTTTGTATATCTTGTCTTTTTTACAGAAAAATAAACAAAAAGTTCAAAATGAAATAAAATATGATATAAACTTTAATGACAGCTATTATTTCACAGATATTCATTAATTTACTATGCAATTATTGATTACATATGATTGAAATAAAACCAGTACTAAATGATAATATAATTTTCTATACTGTAAGATTAAATAGCGTAAAAATCAACTCATCATGCAAAACTATGATTAATTAATTATAAAACTCAAAATTACTCAGTACTTTTACTAAGTACGACTAAAAGAAATTTGAAAGACTACTACTCAAAGGAATTTGTCATACGATTCATAGTAAAACTGTTTCGGAATTATCTTCATTTACTATAATACACCAACATTCAATCGTAGGTGCAGGAGGATTAAAAATCACAGAATCATTACTAATTCTCGGTGATGAATTAAGCCGGCTTTCTATATCGCTGCATTTATGGAATTGTGCTACATAATATATATATTCCTGAGAAGCGGACCACGGAGTGCAAAGATTTATTTTTGTTTATCGAAAAGGTAAGATTTATTTACATGAATCATTATTTAGACAGTTCAGCTTTACATGCAAACTTGTTATTAAAATTCCTTCAATCTATAATAAAATTCTTCATATAAATATAAAACATATGCGAATAATGTTGCAATGTAATACACATTTCAATAAAATAAGAAAATAAAACGATACTAATTATCTGCTTAATTACCCTTGATTGTTTTCATAAGGACTAAAATTCGCTTGCTTAGGCTTCTCGAACACCGCAGGTGAGCGAAGGAAACCGTATTCATCAATCGCATTCATTTTGGGACGAAAATGTTTAAATTTAGTACTCAATATGCAATAGATTTTTCTCAAATACTAAAACTCACTAAAAAGTCTCATACAGAACTTAATACAATGCTTCTCATGACTGACAAAAATCTAACTGTTGCCAACATGTACGAGTAGCAGAAATGAGAATAAAATAATTTTATGTGCTGTTTACAAATAATAGCTTCTCCATTGACACTCCACATTTTCCATTGAAATCTACTTTAAAAAATTACATGTATTTCCTTTTCGGTGCAGTTGTTTAATATTGAATGTTAACCATTATTCTCTGTAACTTTTGGATCATGTGTTTGGCAACATCGTTGTGTTTCTTTTCCTCGTTTGAGTGAAATATTGGTTTCGGAAGTGTGCATTTGTTTGACTGAATATTCTGAATATATATCTCCCTGTATTTTCATTTTGCTGTTATTTTGTTACTTATAGAGCTTAATACAAATTGAGATGTCTGCTATGGAAGTTGATGATGAAATTGATGGCGAAACTTCGGAATTGTCTTCTGCTAGTACTTCACGCGGTGACAAGAAAAGGTTTGAAGTCAAAAAGGTGGTTATAACTTTTTTTGTTGTAATAATTGGTGTGTATTAAACTGTCTCGCATGTTCATTTTCGAATGTTTGATATATGATAGAATAATTTTTTAGTCCTTTCATTTTGGAAAGATTGTTTCATATAATTTCCCGTAGATTAAACCACTTTGTGCATTTACTAAAAATGTGTAATTAAAATGTTGTATATACAGTAAAAAACAAGGGTTTTCATAACTTTTCTGAAATTTAATGAATTTTGCGTGCAATTGATAATTAATCAAATTAATTGAATGAGAAGCGCTCTTGTTTGAAATTTAAATTCACTTTAGAATGCTCGCATTGTATTGGGATTTTCAACCGCAGAGAACCCGTTGGCGCAGTTGCATTTTTACTCGCCAAGCTGGATGAGCCGAACCATAAACGGGATGTTTTGTAAACGTGGTTTTTAGTGTATGTAAATTCAAGTTAGCAGACAATGGTAGTAAAAATTCACAGATAATAAGTATGTAGATGTAAAACTAACTGGTTAAACGTGATATACGAAAAAAAATTTGTATTAAATTCAAGTTTGCACAGAAAACAATGTATTAAACATAACGGGAAGTAAAAATTCATTTAAAAAATAAAAATTAGTATTCTTTACTACTTGTGTTTACGTTATACTTATATGTATTTTCTCTAATTCATATACCTAGAATACTAATATTTCTGAGATTACAAGTGTCTTTTTTCATTATTAAGTACTTTGCCTGTTGATTGATGTATTTTGGTAAGAGCCATGCCCATGTATTATAAATTAATGAATGCATGACACTTCCATAATACATCCATTTTACATAGGTGGGTTTCAGTAGATTATGGTAACTTTTTTTTTTTTTTTTTTTTTTTTCAAGTTACTTGCATACAGCTTAAAGCATTTTCACATTGAAACAAATATCTGTCCTTTTTCATAATATATTTCACTATTGTGAAATATATTATGAAATGATGATATCATATATTAGTGAATCAAATTTTCTTCTGTAGCATTGTCTTAATTATTTAAAACTAGAACTTTATGCGGCCTATGTTTTAAAATTATTGTAGGGGTTGGAAACCTCATGGTTCTGCATGCTTACAGCTGTTAATAATTAAGAACATAACATGAACAGCCTTGTTACAAATTAGCATTCATCCCTCCCGCCATATTTTCATCCTTTGATCCCGAACTGATGAGCCGAGAACCGGCCTCTTTCGACGAAAACTTCTTTAATTATGCGAAAATATTTCTATCTATTCGCTGTTAAAAAATTCAGAAAAAATAATAATAAATATGAGAATAATAATATAAATCTCCAAATGTGAATAACGACAACCTTCGCACAAGCAAATAGGAGGAATTAGCTAGGTTACCAGGTTTGAACTATTATCGCCAAAGTTGGTGATGTTTACATTTACCGGGTTCTCTGCGGAAGTGCTTCCTTGTATTGTGCAGTTCTTAGAAACGCGCCAAGCAGTGGGTGATTCTGCGCTTTCCCGGCTGCCACTTGCGTCACGAGTAGCTGTGCATCCTTAAAATGTAACCTATGTGGAAGTAGACAGTAATTTATTTTTGCATCATAATGATGCAATTTTAAAGATATTTTTACATGTATGACAATATGTATCAATTTCAAATCATCTGCTGGGTGCCAATCAACAGAATAATAAACTAAAAGCAAATAGTGTAATTCCTATAACTTTACAAATGGCAGTTCTAGATAAGAGGTTATTGGGACGACAAATGACAGAAAACAGAAAAAACAAAGGCAGTTCAAATGTAATACTGAAGCAGATATTTCTCAGTTTTTTGTACTATTCTTCATATGCTCACGGATCTGTTGTTGCTAAAAAAAATTAGAGAATTGCTGAAACTTAGCATCGCACGCAACCTCAGCGCCAAAATCGTAAACTGAGAAGAGAAAAAAAAGGCATAAGACATATGATTCCTGTAAGTGAGCTACATTACATTTTATGCAATGGAAAGCTTAGTTGAAAATTTTGTCCAAGACTATGAAAACTGCAGTATGTGCCAAAGGACTAAAATTTCCCTAAAAATAATCGTAATCTGCATTCACACTGGCGAAGAAGCCCAAAGAAATGGAAATCCGTCTAGAAATTTTATATGTATACTTTATTTGCCACATACCATTTTTTGACAACATTAAGTATTATCTCAGTAATATTTTGCAATGTAATAATAATTCATACACATTACAATGACACCTGTACTAGAATATGGTGTATGATAACTCGCTATCATTCGGATTTGGTTGATGCATATTACTTGATGCATGCTTTTGTGGTGTAGGTGGATAGTATTTTCAGCTAGCAAGTGGAAGATGCATAGCTGAAATTCTAGTGAGGGTCAGTTGATATATCATCTTGCTCTGAAAATCTTAATACTAATCTCTACTGTCAATCAATTTTTCATTTTTTTTCCCCTGCCACTGAAAACAATAATAATCTCTACAAACTGTTGATTTTTTTTACCTCGTATATCCAAAACAACATGCTATCTGAGATGATAGTAGCTAGCATGTAATTAAGACAGTTTTTTGGTAAAAATATATTTAAGGATGCTCCTTGATGATTTTTGGTGATTGACCAGCAAAGCACGATTTCAAGATGGCCGCTACACGAAACCAACATAACAATTGCACAAACTCGGTGTCCAGAGAATTGCACAAACTGGGCATTGCACACTGACTTTGTCCAAGTACACATTGATTTATTTTCACTTAAAAATCAACAGAGCACCCAATTCTACACTAGAGCCAAACAAAAAGATATATATTCTCAAATATCAAAAATAAAAAAAATATATAATCTGCATTTTAAATCAAACAGTGAAATAACATGAAAAAGGAAATACATCTTATCGCATCTATGCACTACACAAAGGAAGTATCCACTTACCTTATTTAGAAATTTCTGTGTCTTCAGTCTGTGGCACATGAAATTCCTTAACATCATCCAAAAACTTTCTTCAAACTATTTTCCCTTTCTAATGGAATGCTTTATATGGTGGGCATTTGAACCTTTCTTGCGACAAACCCATTAAAAGCCATCTGAATGATCTTTACATTCGACCATATGCACGTCCTTCGTATAAACAAGACACTTTTAATTCTATTGAATTACATCCAACAAAGTTTCTTGGTAAAAGTATATTTATGGGTACCCCTTAGCGATTTTTGGTGGTACATGGATATTGATTTTGTGCAATTCTGTGACTTGTGTAGCGGCAGTTTTTGCGTGAAAAATCGCCACTACACAAAGCCAAAATAACAAGATAAATAATTACACAAACTCTGTATCCATGTACACATTGACCTATTTTCACTTAAAAAAAATCCCAGAAGTCCACAAACTTGTCCTTGCGTACTCCCTTGGCTTTATCCATGTACATATCGACTTATTTTCATTTAAAAAGTCAAGGGAGCAGTAAACAAAAACATATATAGTCTCAATAAACTGCATTTTAAATCAAACAATGAAATAATATAAAAAAGGAAATTCATCTCTGCACTATACAAAGGAAATATCGACTTACCTTATTTATGAATTAACACGTCTTCAGTGAAACAAAATTCCTTAACGGCATCCAAAAACTTCCTAAAATTATCGGAACTAGAATCTGTGTAATGGCGTCACCACGTAAGTTCACAAAATAAGAGTAAAAAATATCCTCCGTAGCGCTGTATCGTCCAACCATATGCATTTCCTTCCTTACACTTAATAATAGCTACTAAGTAAACCTTCATTTATGCACCTGTCAAGTAATGTTCTTTTCCTCTTTCTTTCCAAATCGTACAGAAACTTCAAATTAATCTTACCATATTCAACTATTTTAATGTCTAAACCAGAAAACAAGCATTGTACTTCCTAAACAACACGCACGGCAAGCCCTTCCAAATTCTCTGCAATCATGTAACCAATTACATCATAATAGGTTTTCCATAACATTCCACTACTCAGGCTACCATGAATAAACCACCACTTGGTGGTAAATAAAACAAAAACTTTGCAATAATAGAAGGGGTACCATTCTCTCTACTCTAAGTAGTTTCTTTTCTTCTTGTTTCAACACAGTTTTCAAAAAGTTTTTTTTTTTTTTTTTTTTTTTTTTCCACTTAAAAAAAAAGTTTCCACTCTCTCTTTCTGTATCACCAAATACCACTGCCAACCATTTTATGATGCAAAGCACACAATATGCAGCATACTTCCTAACTGACATCTAACGCAAAAATAAACCCTTACCAATATTTTCCCATCAGTCAAATTCACTGCTATCACACAACCAATCATGTCAAAATAGGGTTTCAATAGTATTCAACTACCCAGGAATAAATAAAACAGCAATAAATGAAACAGCAACTTGGCAATAATCCAAGAGGTGCCGTAAAATATAGGCTAACCCAGTTTTTTAGTACTGCATAAGGTTTTGTAAATTTCATTAACACTAATACCACTGAATGCATTTTGGGGCCACACATATATGGATAATCATAAAAACGAGCTATAAAGTGCTATAAAATGAAAACATTGATTTGTAGTTAAAATATGTAATTTTTACTCTATTTTATATCCAATCAAATATTGCTTTTTACTTTTTAGTGGAATGCAGTTGCTCTCTGGGCTTGGGGTAAGTAAAGCAATTTTTTTCATTCAAAAGATCATTAATTTTTTTAATGATAAAACTTGATAGTTTAATTTTTTGCTAAAAATATATTTACGGGTGCCGCTTGGCGATTTTTAGAAGTACATGGACACCGAGTTTGTGCAATTCTTTGACTTGTTAATTTGGCTTTGTGTAGCAGCGAATAAGAAGTCAAAGAATTGCACAAACTCGTTATCTATGTGCACATTGACCTATTTTCACAAGGTATTTATTTGACTACGTTCTGATCGTCAATTTTAAAGAAATTTTTCAACATTTTTTTATTAATTTACTTTTATTTTTAGCTTCCAAAAACTACTTTTGTTTTGTCTCTCCAGTGATTAGAAGTAGAGTTATGGTTGTTTTTGTTCTATGCCATGAACCGGAAGTTGCTGTTTAAAAGGCCAGAAGTTGATATTTGTAAATCAGAATGTAAATACTAAGGGACACAGACTGCTCTAAATGAGAATATTTCATTTGAATACTGTTGGCAATATTCAAATGATTTTGAAATACAGTGGTACCTCGACATACGAGTTTAATTCGTTCCGTAACCTTGCTCGTATGTCAAAGCAATTTTCCCCAATGAAATTACTTGAAATGCCATTAATCCGTTCCAGCTCCCAAAACACCACCTCAGTTGTTTTTGTTAAGTGTTTTTGAAAAAGAAAAATGTATTTACAAGAAGAAACATTTATTTATAAATAACAAATACATATTTCATCACGCTTTGCTCCTTTTCACCTGCAGTTCGTTAAAAAAAACTGTCCAAGGAGGTTTGTTTCTTCCTCCCTTTCAGGATATTGCGGAAATGAGTTAGGCAAGTTTCGTTCAACAACTCCGATGCACGACCAGTTGCAACTTTTTCAGGGTGATTTTTATCCACGAACTCTACAACTTTCTCCCACATTCCCAAGATCTCCTTTATATCTTTTGTAGGGATAACCTCCTCCACCTCTGGCTCCTCTTCAAAACTAATTTTTCGTTGAACCACCGTATGCTGCTGTGAATGTAGATAGTGTAACTCCTCGGTTGTCAGCTCCTGAGACTGTTCCTCGACGAGTTAGTTCACATCTCTGTCATCCATCTCCAGACCCATGGATTTTCCCAGAGAAACAAGTCTGGTCTGAGGTGGGAAAAACTGTTAGACGCTGCACACGACTGCAACATGCGCACATGTCGGGTCATGTGCAGTGATGTAGTGTGCGATTCCTCATATTTCAAATCTTGCTCTCATCTCAAGGTAAAATATCGCTCGCTCGGCGGCTCATGTCTCAAAACACTTGTATATTAGGGCACTCGTATATCAAGGTACCACTGTATTATTATTATGTGCTTTTAAGCAAGGTAACTTTCGAAATTTCAGTATCATATTTGGCAATATTTCTGGTTGTGTTTACATTCTAATTTGATTACACTCTGATTTAGTCTACGTGCTGTTATTCAGTATTATTATCTCATTCTGCTTTGGTTTAACATTGTGATAAAATATTTTCACTTTATTAAAGTAAACGTTGTAATGTGTCAGCGTGGAACTTTTCAATTTAAAAAACGGTGATTTTCTGGAGGCAGATATACTGTGAAAGCTTCAAACTCTGGTAAAGTAAATCTGAACGTTTCGTATGAAACTGCCAGTGAATCGAAACTAGGAAACAATGAAAAATTTTCTGAAAATTACAATGAAGCTAATTTAACTAGTAATAGAATATTCGATGTTAAAAGTCTAAAATCTGTATCATCTCCAGTGTGTTTCAAAAATAATTTGATTTTGGAAGAAGAATCCACTTTTGGAATAGCTTCTAACTGGTGCTTTAAATGCCATAATTTTTCTTTTGTAAGGAGTTTTGTCTTATCAAGAAAAAACAAAGTTATGATATAAATTTATTGTTTGTGTTTGGGATGAGAATCGTAGGAAAAGGTGTACATCAGCTGCAAAGAAACTATGTGCAACTTTAAATATGCCTGTGATTTCAAACAAATCATTTCGTGCACAAGAAAGGAAAATTCTAAATGCTGCATCTGCAGCTGTTACAGATTCTATGAACAAGGCAGCAGGTGAAATAAAATGCAAAATAAACTGTAACATTGGTGTAGTACAATGCGGTGTATCTGTTGACGGTACAAGGCAGAAAAGCGGATATTCATCTCTCAATGGTTGTGCTGCTGTTATATTTGTTGACGCTGGAAAAGTCTTGAAATTATGTCTCAGTTTTGTAATCTTTGTAACAAAATGCAAATAAGTTAATTCTGAGCATGATTGTTCAAAACATCACTCAGGAGCTGCATCCAGTATGGAGACAGTTGGGGCATACAGGTTGTTTGAGTGCTCCCAACAACTAAGAGGTTTGCAATATACAAAGTATTATGGTGATGGAGATTCAAAAGGATATTTAGCAGTTAAAAACATGTATGGTAAATATAGTGTTGAAAAACAATCGGATAAAAAAATCAGATAATTGCACAAACTCGACATTTCTCACTGACTTGATTTTGTTCATGCACGCATCGATCTATTTTTACTTAAAAATCGAAGAAGCATCCAATTCTACACTAGAGCCAAACAAAAAATATATAATCTCAATAAACTGCATTTTAAATCAAATGTTGAAATAACATAAAATAGCACTAACATTACTGTTGCATCTATGCAAAGGAAATATCCATTTACCTGATTCAGAAATTTCTCTGTCTTCAGTCTGTGGCACACAAAATTCCTTAATAACATCCAAAAACTTTCCTGGTGACCATTTGAACCTTTCTTGCAATAAATCCATTCAAAGCCATTTGAACGATCTTTACTTTCGAGCATACTCATTTCCTTCGTACAAACAGGACACTTATAATTCTGTTGAATTACATCCAACAAAGTTTCTTTCTTCTCTCCTCAACCGCTTAAAAAAAAAAAAAAAAAAAAAAATTCTCCGCTCTCGTTCTATACCACCAAACACACAGTTTACCATTGGCAGCCATTTTACGATGCAAAGCACACAATACACGACCTACTTCCTAACTGACATCCAACAAATATTTTCCCATCAGTCAAATTTACTGCAATTATGCAAACAATTAAGTCATAATAAGGTTTTCATAACATCCAACTAGTCAGATTACCATAAATGAAACAATAACTTGGCGATAATCTAAGGGGCACCCTTAAATATAGGTTAACCAATTTTTTTATTGTTAGCTTCTCTTACTGAAAGTATGCTATATTAATGTAACTGTAAATGTATTGTGATTAATAAAGTGAACACAAATCACTGCCTAAACATTAGCCAACAACTACCTCTTGTAAAATGCTTTAGCTTTGCTGCGTGTGGTTTTGTTAAACTGTGTTAAAGTGTTATAAAATTTGTTATTTTTGATTACATGAATTCATGATAAATAAAAAATCATGATTCTATTTTGATAGAATGTACACTGCTTACACAAAAAAAAAAAAAGACTGTTCTATATCTCCTGTTTTACTGGGCTGATTGACAAAATTCAAATTGCGTTTTTCATGTCTCGAAAGCACAACTTAAGATATATATAGATTTATATATAGCATCATTCTAACATGGGTATTTTGACACAAAATCAGACTTCATCTAAAATGTCATGGCAATTTTTTCCCCCTATATTTCAATTTTACGACTCAAACTATGTCTAAATATTAAATTTTATAATATTTGGTCCAAAATTTGCGGAGATATTCAAAAATTTACCTTGGATGTATTTTTTTCAGTTTTTGCCAAGAATAATTTACTTGACGAACTTCTTAATTTTAGCAATCTACTTTAATTTTCTCTTTATCATTGCAGATGAGTGAGGGAAAAAGTCATTGTTCATACTTTCAAATGGTTTTAACAAAGTGCGTAAACCACATTTGCATTATTATTGCTAAAAAACAGGATGCCAAATTTCAAAACCCTCCAGTATCTAAATTCATGTATATGTTAGAAAATTTTGAATAAAAAAACCCTTGTTTTTTTGCAGGTGTGCCTAAAATACATTTACTTTAAAATGATGTTAAAAACTTTATAGGTTATAATAAAAAAATTTTTGCAAAATTTATAAAAATATTTAAAAATACAAATTTAAAAAATAAGTTATAAAAAATGTTCGAATTAAATTTGGATTAAGCCTAAATTTCAAATTCTGGAAGAAGGAATCAAGTAAATTTAATAAATAAATATATATCAAATTCAGTTAACATTGGCGAGCTAATTTTTTATAAACTACTCGGGCGATTTTTACAAAACTTGGTCATTCGCATAATTTGAGTCGTAGAATCAAAATATGGGGAAAAACTGGCATGTTATTTCAGAAAAAGTCCAATTTTTGTGTCAAAATACCTATATTGGGACAGTGCTATATATAAATCTAATATATATCCTACATCATGCTTTCAAGACATGAAAAACGCAATTTGAATTTCAACAATTGGCCCAGTAGAATGGGAAATATAGAACTGTCCCCTTTTTTTTCTTTTCTTTTCTTTTTTTTTTTTTTTTTTTGCGCAATGTACGTACGTATATATGCATGTTTGCACACACACAACACATATACACATACATGTATACATTTTTCAATCTAGTGCTAAGAACAGATGAGTACCAATTTTTCTAATTGCATGCATGCTTAAATAGGCTAATTTTGTTTTAATTATGTTTCAGTCTTCATTTGAGAGAATGATTTTAGTGATTGCATATATGCAGAGATTATTGCTTTGTTTTGTTAAAAATGTTTGTATGCCTTTCTGATTAGTATTGTAGATTTAAATGTAATTTTATTGAATATAATGTTTATGTGAATTTTCAGTTGTTCAAGCCTTTCTCATATTCCATGCAGTTAAATTTTAATGAAATTTAGCTGTACTTTAATATGATGAAATGACTGAAAAGCAGTTCAAAATATTCTTTAAAATTATAGACTATATTTTTTAAAAATATTTAATTGCTACAGCAATTTGTATATCTTTCAGATATTGTTGTGGACAATTGTGCTATTTGCCGAAATCATATAATGGATTTGTGTAAGTATGAATTTTTGAGATTTCTCCAGTTTTCTTCTTCTATAATGAAAAACTGCTAAAAGAAATTGCACTGCTTTTTGCCTCTCTTTTCTTTTCAATAAGTATCTTAAATATTTTTCTTCATTATAATTCGTTATGCTTATTTTTTTACAATGTTATTTAATAATGCTTTTGCATTCTAATTAATAGTGCTTTGAAGTTTATGGATAAATTCTTTGTTAATCTTTGGAACATTGTAACAGGTAGTTTGGCGACATTTTGGTAAGGTGATAAAGGTTACTAGCTAGGACTTTAGCAATGTACATGGATAAAGTCAAGAGTGTGCGCAATGCCATTTTTGTGCAATTCTGGGATGTTTTTTTAAGTGAAAATAGGTTGACGTGTACATGGATGATACTGTGCATGTACAATTCTTAAAACATGGCAAGCTCTTTGCGATTCTGCACTTTCTCCCAATTTCGCACCTAATCATCGTCATGATTAAGCAATTTTGTTCCATAAAAGTTCTAGCATAAGCGTTATTCGGCTAGCAGATTGTTGGAAAAAAACGTTGAGGGAAAAAAAAAAAAACATGCCTTTACTTCGTGAAAACAATGGCGTCAAAACAGAAACTAGCAGGTTGCTGTAGCAGGGTTGGTCGCCAAACAATCACCAAGGTACCATAATCCAAAGAGTAACCATTCTTATTTATTTCACAGTTTACAAATGTAATTTGTTTAAGAGATAGTGCTTTATTATATATCTTCATACTTACATATTAGTGTAACCGTCTTAGTAGAAGTCGCCAAATTTTCAGGATCAGCAAAATATGGCAGCTGTGCTCATAACGTTTCTTGTCAAGCAACATCTCCATTTTTGTATGCTTTCTTTTTTCTGTATTTAAAATTTCAGTGTCTTTTGTAAACAAATTGGGAAATTTTTTACTAACACTGAATTTTAAAATATGCACATGTGGAATTTGCAAGCAGTGGGAAAAACTGCAGTAAAATTTATGCAGAAATAAAGTATTTTGCCATTAAAATCTGGGGGTGGGGGACAACTTGCTTGGAATCTGTTAAAGTGATCAACTGTTATTTTCTACCAGAATAAAAGGTGCAAAAATCAACTTGTAAATAGATTTATTGATTGATTTTCAGGCTAAATATGGAATTAAGATTATAAAATGTGCGTAGGGGGGTTGCATTAATATACAAGTATCTCTTAAAGATTTGTATTTTGATTTGAAAGTTTCTTCAGAATTTTATATAAAGACATTATCCTATGAAAAGCTAGTTAATATTTAGGTTAAGAATTTATCACATATGTGACTTTTAAATTGAAAGATCTAAAAATTCACTTTATGTGACTGACTACAGGATGGCTTACTTCTTATTTATGTGATATTCAAGCCCATGAATAAGAGGACATTTTGATTTTTCTCCTTTAGAAATAGAATGAGTAAGAAATGAAAAAATATAACAGCGTGAAATGTAATTAAATACTTATATTATATTTGACCTGTCTGGAACAAATTGTCTGATGTCTAATTAGCATTTATTTTGCAGTAGCTTCAGTATAAGAAATGTTAGTCAAAGTTTGAATTTTTTCCAGAAAAAGGTTTATTAAAAACATAAAAAATATTCTTTCATACAAATTACTGTATTATCGATCAAATTATCAAAAATTATTAAACTGTTCTACATTAGTCGCAGTATCTAGAGGGCGGAAAATACTGTGTGATTTTCTTTTGCTCCCATTGAAAAGCTAAGAAAAGTACTGATGAGGCAGTGCACTATGTTGGTAAAAAAGTATTTATGTGCCAACAGAGGTATCTGTGTAAAGTTTTGCCACATGGCTTTTCACTTCTCTGAACATTTTTTTAATGTGATTGTAGATTATGATCGCATCTAGGAGAATTTCAGCAATTTAGCATAGCAGTGGTCCTCATACTGCTGTTCTGGCAAAATCTGGGATTTAGCTTTTGGCATACATGGTTTGTTTAAAGGCATCGTATGCTCTGCCATTCATTTTAGGATATATTGGTAATAGATGCAGATAATCAGAAAGTGCCAATTTATCTAATAAAGGGAGGGTGAAGATAGCTTCATTTTAATTTTTTTATTTCAATGTTAACTTAAAATCCTGAGATGGGTATCTACAAGCACACAACAGAATATGTGTGGTGATGATAGAAGTTTTAAGTAGCAAACACTGTCATTTTTTTCTCATTTATCAGTGTTCGTATGGAGATAAGCTGCAGCGAATAATAATCTATTTTATATCATTTTGCATGCAAATACCAGACAATACTGGCCACAAATCAAAAAACTACATTTCTACACCAAAAGCCACTGCTGGCTTGTTTGTATTGTATTGGTGGGTACTGGATAACAAACAAATACTTAACTTTTCTGTATAATGTCGTTCATGTGAACACTGTTTTATACTTTAAGAAACTGTGCTAATTCTTTTCAGAGTCGGTAAAATAAGTTGGATTAGGCATGAGTTCTGAAATACCTTTGGGCACTTAAAATATTTATTTTATTGTACAGACAGTTCTGATTTAATGGCCTAACTGATAGGAAGCATATGTTTGAAAATATTTTAGAAATTCTCATAGACGAGTTACTTGGTTGAAGAAATACTGATATGCTGTGAAGCCATACTGTATGCATGAATAATATGATAAATTGATTGAAATTGTTCATATTACATACAAATATTTGAAAATATAAAGATGATATATATGACAACCGGTAATTAAAATGATAGATAATTTTGCTAATTAAAGAAACTAAAACACTTGGTGCAACTTTTAAAACCTATTGCTATTCTACTGCTTAAGATACAAGATTTTTATTTGCTTATGAAATTTGGTTTACCCAAATACCTAATGATTAATTTTACAATAATTTATGAGAAACAGCTTAAAAGTAAATTGTCAGGTAGTAACTCAGCATCATACGCTAAAGAAGAATAGAATGCATTATGACATAAATCCATATTTTGTACCTTACATCATATCTTTAAGCAAAATCAGCTCCTTTTTCTTACATGTGTTTTTTCTTACAAAATGTATCAACTTCTACATGATTTTATAACTCTTCTTTCTATGTGATGGCATTGAATATTGCTGGGCTGGAAAAAATTTTTAAGATAAATTCTTCTGCATTACTTACAGTGCTTGAGCAAGTTTTAGTTATATTAAAAATTCTGCCAATTATTGGCACTTTAGCAGCAGCAGGAATTAATTTATGCATTGCGAGTTTTAATCCTTTTGGTAGAAATTTGACAGCCATAGTTATCATAGCTTTTGGACATCTTTAGAAAATTGTTGACGTAGAACTTATTTGTACATTTTTAGGTATTGAATGCCAAGCTAATCAAGCTTCTGCTACTAGTGAAGAATGTACTGTTGCTTGGGGAGTTTGCAATGTGAGTAGTTGTTATTTGTTTGAAATGTAATTGTTTAAACATGACTTTTAAAATTTAATAAATAGGAATGTAATTTTTTTTGTAAAGATCACAGTTAATTTTCAATTGTATGTTACTAGTAAAGCCAAACGGAGGTCTGAGAGCCACATGTGGTTCTTTGGTCTTTCAAATGCAGCTTTTGTTGTAACAGTTAATAGCTTTTATGTTTAATAATAGTATCTAAATTGAAACAGAAATCATGCAAGGTTTTTTAATTATCAGAGGTTTTATTTTTAGAATTATTTATTTAGCAGTTTTTAACAATTTCAAGCTGTAAGCCATTTCTATGACTTATTATAGTAGCAATAGTACCTTTAAAACATGTTTGGACTTTTAGGATAACGGGAAAGGCATATGCATTAGCAAAACTCTGCGATAATGATGTACTTTAAATTTGCTGATCGACTGAAACTGCATTTTGTATAAGTATAGTTATAATTTGAAATTGTAGAAGCAAAACATAGCTGATGATCTGGTTTTTGTTTAATGAAATAGACGATATAGGATTAGCTTTTATCTCTGTATGTTGGCCAGCAAATTTTAAATAATTTTTGTGTATCAAAATAAAATTTCTTCACAGAGTGTTCAGTAATAGGAACTCCAGTTTTAGGATGCTGAAAGATCTCAGTCAGGAATCTTTCAGCATTCTAAAACACCAACATATGTTTGCAAATATATTATTTCTATTTATTTTACTCTTGAAAATTATTGCTATTTTGTAACATCTGAAGCCTATTTAAATATATATGTATTATATAATGTAAACAGATTAGATATTTTGTATTATCTAGTCTGTTTAAATCTGACTTAATATTTAATTCAAATTTATTCGACTGAAAGAACTTGCAATTCTTTTGGAGTGTATATATGAAAAGCAGTTAATTTTTTATCATACTTTAGGGGGCAATATTTTGGTAAAAATATATTTACGGGTGCGCCCCTTGGCGAAAATTGGCAATTTTTGGCAGTACATGGACACTGTGTTTGTACAATTCTTTCACTTGTTATTTTGGCTTTGTGTAGCTGTTTTGTGTTTGTTGTTATTTTGGCTCAGTATCCATGTACCCATTGACCTATTTTTACTCAAAAAAAAAAAAAAAAAAAAAGAGGATAATTTCACAAACTTGCCATTGCGCACTCCCTTGACTTTCTCCATGTACACATTGATTTATTTTCACTTAAAAATCAAAGGAGTAGCCAGTTCTATCCCAGAGCCAAACAAAAAATATATAATCTCAATGAACTACATTTTAAAATGAAAAATGAAATAACATAAAAAAGGAAATTCATCTTAGCACTGCACAAAGTAAATAACCGCTTACCTTATTTAGGAATGTCCGTGTCTTCAGTCAAACAAAATTCTTTAACAGCATCCAAAAACTTCCTAAAATGATCTGTATACTGATGTCTCCACATAAATTCACAAAAATAAGAGTAAAAAATATCCTGCAACGTTCAACAATTACGCATTTCCTTCTTACAAACAGGACACTTACAATGGCTGTTGAATTACATCCAACAAGTTATCCCTTACCTTCTTCTGTCCTGTACTCTGTTGGGTGCCAGCGCACATAGGAATACTAGGAAATGAAAGTGCAGACACAGTGGCTATAGAAGTTGCCAATAATGCATCCTTACTTGAGTGTCCAACAATACTTCCAATCTCGCTGCTAAAGCATTCCACGTGCAAACTTCTCATAAGACAGTGGCAAACCCACTGGAATGATGCCACAATTGCTTGATGTACACATGCTGTGCTCCGAAGAGTAAGCATGGATCTGCAGAAGCAAAACTGGCAGCATGTCACATTTCCTAACAGGACATGGCCCTTACAAAGCCTATCTGCATAGGTTTGGTCTTCCCAATACAGACATCTGCGACTGTGGGAAAGTGGGCAGCCCAGACCACTGTTACTTTGAATGCTGCTTGACAGCGAAGTTGCATCTAAAAAAACCAGCACCTATGTTTCACGCAACGTGGTGGAATAATATTAAAAAAAATCTGATGTGTACACCACATGACTTCCTTGTACGGAATATTAAATTACACACATTTGTTTCATGCATTTCTTTTAAACTTATTGGATTTAATTAAATCTACTTCGCCAACAGCGCATAAACCACAATAGAATAAAGGCATTCATTAAAATTCAATCTATTTGTTTTAACATAGCGACACTCTGGCACTAGGTTCACTTTATTATATTTTATTCATATTATAACTCAGAATGCACAAAATGTATATCATTTAAAGAATTATCTAATCGTTGCCACATGTTCTTTTCAAATACTATAATAAAGCTAGAATGATGTAAAAAAGAAATTAAGCAAACAAAACAAAACAGTTTTTCACAGATGATTGAGCATTTCTCATTCAATTAATTCAGTTTTCACTTCGCGACAAGACAAAAATACATAAAAGCTCAAAATATCTGTATTAAAAATTACTAATTATTAAAAATTAGATTACTAATTATTAAAATTAAGTAAATCTTAAACAATTTATTTCTTCGAAAAAATTCCAGAAGGATTAAGCATGGTTTAATACGCAATAATAAATGAAGGCGTATATTTTTGTTGTTGCGAAGCTTGTCTCTCTAGATTGCAACAAATCAACAATTCTGCTGTTTAAAATGTAAACAAATATGTCCGCCATGTATTTAAAACTTAAACCGCACTTAAACAGCTTTTAAATTGTTGATAATTGTACAAATATTGCTTCCAGAATTACGAAAGGCATAAAACCTTAACCGGAAGATAAGAACAGCATAATTCAATCCTTTTTAAAGCAAAAAATGTACAATTTACAAACATATAAGAGTAAAGAAACTGAGATCACGGAGCTGGGTAACAGAGTGAATATATATATAAATATATTTATATACGTTTGGCGCGGCCGTTTGCAACCAAAATACGAGGTGCACATCTACATGTTATAGTAGTCCTATATATAAAATTTCAACGTTCTCAGGCTACTCGTTTTTGAGTTATGCGAGATGCGTTCGTACAAACACCACAAAAAATTCTCTTCAGAGTTAATTTTAAAGCAGTTTTATAATTTTTTGTATAATGCCAGTTTTGTAAATATGCCAGTTTAACACTTGAAATACCAATAACAGTATTGCATAATGTCATTTATATATATCTGTTGTGTAAAAATCTTTCTTCCACATTGATTGTAATCACTTAAGTGTAGCACATTCGACTTATTTATGCACCAAATGTAGTACTCATTTAATGCACTGCCATTTGCATATATATGTAAACATATAATTCCCCTTATACATAGTATTCAATATGAATGTTCATATGTAATACTGTGCTATTCAAAATATCTTGTAACAAAAGAAAAAAAAATATTTTCTGAACAACAGGCCTTGTATGCCAGTGTAACTGAATTCTGCAGAAATGATGCTCAATTCCAGGCTCGAACTAGGACGAATGTCATCTTCGCGGTGTATAGTCAATTAATGGTTTTTCCCCCTTTCATTTCAAATCAGACAGAAACTTTAAATTAATCTTACCACATTCAGTCATTTTACTGTTAAACCACAAAATAACCACCGTACTTCCTAAGCAACGTCCAATACATAAACAAGCCCGTAATCTTTTCCCCACCATTCATATTCATTGCAGTCACACAACCAATTCCATAACATTCAACTAATTAGGTAACCAAACATGAAACAACTTGGCGATAAATGAAGCAACAATAATAACGATAATCCATGGAACACTCTGATGTAGCTTAACTCAGTATTATTTAGGAAGTGAAAAATATATTTTTGTACTTTCTGTTATTAATACTGTGAACTCCCGATAACCCGGGTGTGGATTATCCTGTTTGCATATTATCCGTATATAGCAGTCTCCACGTACCATGTTATGCACAATAGTGTGTAAAAAACAAACACAAGTTCAAGCATGCTCTAAAAACTGCTCAAATTTGTCTTGAGATTTAGTTTCAGTGATTATCTCATACAATTCATTCTACATGTGCCTAGTCAAAGTCATCGTTTCTGTTTATCATTAGGACTTTTTGTTTTGTATGTACTTTTGTGCTTATTTTCTCCTTGTTCTTTTAAAAATTGCATTAAAATTTTGGAATTAAAATACAAATGTAGAACATTCTACATTAAAATTTTGGAATTGATATACAAATGTAAATATTCTTACAAGCACAAGAATGTTCTATGCTATAAAAATTCAATAACTGGTCGTACACTAAAAATTGAAAATGTAGAATTCTTCAAAAACATGGAACCGGAAAAAATTGAGGAATGGTTTGATGGCAAGTACAACTGAGCCAGGCTTTTAGTGCTTCAATGATATAAATATCATTTCAAGTATCATAAAAACATAAGAGGAAGAGAGAGATTCTGAAAATAGAAGCAAAGAAGATACAATTATATCCATTTGAAGACAGCAGTGACTTCTGTTGAAACTCCTTTGCACTCATTGAACAAAGGCAATTCGAATACATTGATAAAATAGCACTATGAAAAAAATGTGCAGTAAAGTTTGACAAATATTTAAACATTTAAAAAAAAAGTAAAGTTACTGATTTTTTTTAAGGAATAAATACATGCAATATGCATGAAAATTGATAGTGTGGAAGTATCCATATTTTTCAGTGATTCGTGACCTGCTTACCCGGCATTAGGCCAGATGATCGAGAGTACACTGTGCATATGCTTTTAATTTTCATAGAATATTATAAAGTTTTTTGAGAGGTCAGATTTATATATTCCAACTCATAGTGTGAATAAGTAGCTGTATTAATTGTTTTGAATGGCATGAGTACCATTTATCTGGTAATGAGATTAATTAATATGCATCATCATTTTATTTAAAATAGTTTATCTTATTTTTCTACATAATTTTCTTTATAATGATCTAATTCTAATCTTGGGAGGGAAGGTTATGTAAACAAAGAGTAAAATAAGTAATTAACAAATTTAGATAATAAATGCTATTGAAATATAGATCTTCATGATCAAATCAAAGTAGTATTGCTGCTGAGAGGGTAGTCTACAATATGTGTATCATAATACAATTATGATACATATATTCTGTTTGATTAAAACTGGATACATTAAATTGATACTCAGATCCCTTTTTAATTCATAGTCTTTTATTAAAGTGTGTAATATTACATTATTTCTGTATATATTATTGTATAATATTTGATTTATTTTGCAGCATGCCTTTCATTTTCATTGCATTTCTCGGTGGCTGAAAACTAGGCAGGTTTGTCCATTAGATAATCGTGAGTGGGAATTTCAAAAGTAAGATATTTTTCATATTATTTAATCTTTTATATATGTTTGCATATGCTGAATAACCTAAACATTCAACATACTTCCATAATAATTGTCAGTCATACTCTTGCATGAGTGATACCTACATCCTTCAAAATGAGAGGCTGGAGGGTTTTGGGATGATTAAACTTGTATCAATATTGTTCATATATCCATCATAGACATCAACCTCAGCATTAATGAATCTGATATATCCCAAAGAGATTTTAATGCATATATTTGTTATGGCTACTCTTAGTTGCGCTACGTCATTGTTAAGCAGATCCCCGAGATATCCAATAATTACATCTGAGCACATGAATGCTGGCACATGGAAATTCAGATGAATATCTCTTGCGCCGTGTCTGAGTGGCTGTGTTTTAGCAGTGTTGCAAATTATTTTACTGTCCCTCTATGACTGTCATGAACAGTAAGTAGATCAAAAATTTAAAGATTTTTTCTGACACATTCCTGACAAAAGACTCCCCAAACCTATAGTGCCTTAAACAAAATCAACTTAGCCGGATGAATACATACCTTGTGTTATTAATGCTAATCTATAATTGTAGTATACCATAAATCAGTGTGCCTGGAGATAGGCTTTATCTAGTCAAGGAACTTTGCTATTCTGCAGAAGTCTATTTTTGATGATCCTGACATCAAGCATATTGGAGTGTACATGTTTTCAGTAGTAGTGTACATGCAGCACTGCTAACTTATGCATTCTGTAGGGCCTTCTGTGTTAAACCTGAATATGCTCTTACTCACTTTGGCTAATCTAGCTTGTTAATGATGCAAAGAAGTTTACCATTGGGATATTCATGTATAATATACCCTTTATAAGTTTAGTGTAAAGGCCCAGATTTTAAGTTATCTCAGAGATAAAGTGACAGAATGACTCATTTATCTCAGCACCAATGTTATGTTTCTAATCAGAATTACTACTTTAATACTTAATTGCCACAGATACTGATTTTTACTGATTGTGATAACTTCCGGAAAGCTTGCATAAGTAGTTCTGTTGAGTGTAAAGAAGGCATTAATAGACATAGATTGCAGACATGTTTTCAACCATTCAACTTTTTCAACTTCTTTAGCTGCAACTGAAGAAGATGACAGTGTCGAATTGCTGAGAGAGCTTCTGCAAAAATAAAATTTATCAACAAAAATCTGTCTTCTGCTAAAATAAGATCTAACAACAAAAATAATATCAGTCAACACTGTTTTCCTTATATTCAGTTTTTAAATGAGCATATTTTACTTAGTTTGAGTATGCTTCATTCTCCTGTAACTGCTATTCCCATTTCCACTGATTCAAGTATTTTGGTTATGTGTTATATTATAATATGTATGTATGTGTCATTGGTAAAATTACTTGTATTGATAAATTTAAAAAATACTATTTTTATGCTTAATAGTTTTGATTTATAAAATTTTCTTTTCCTTTTGCAGGTATGGTCACTAGTATCCTGTTTGAATTTTCCTTCTTTTTTTATGTATCATTGCTTTGTCAGCAACTTATTCTAATTTAATGTAATTAAAATTTTTTAATTAATAATTTGCCTTTTATATTAACTTAAAGTTTGTTACACTAAGAAGCATTTCATAATGACACATTTAATTGCTGCATTAAGTCTAATGAGTATGTGCAATTTACTCGAAATGTAAGAAGTCAGTAATGTGGAAAAAAAATTCCATTTTTTATTGAATCTCATCTGTAGAAACTTGTAACAGGAGAACTTTTCTTTGACACTTTTTATTATTGTTTAGAATTAATGAAATAAATAAATAAATACTTTCTAGTGGTAATATACCTGTTGGTTAATGATATTCAGTCATATTTTCTGTTGTTAGAGAAAAGATATTAGTGAACTGTCTTTTAAAGATATTAAAATATGTGCCTTTGATTTATATATTGTGGAAATGATTGAAATAATTATTTCAAAACTTTATTTTGATTTAAGAACAATTTTCAAAAAGAAGAACTGAAGTATTAAAAAAAAGAAATCTATATAAAAACAGCAAATCAATTCACAGTAGCCACCTAGACTTTACTTTTTTCTTTTTTGGTACTTAATTTTTGCATGGTGTTCAATAATAAAAACCTCTGTTTAAATCCAGTTTTCATGTTCAAATTCGATATTATCCAGTGTTTTTACTTCCTTGTATGAAGTAAAAAAGAAGTATTATAATTGCGAAAAAATTTGGGTATCATATTTAAATGAAAATATCCATTTTGACTGCTATCAAATGCAATTTAACAATGTATTTGCATGACATCTGTCTGTAAGGAATATAAAGGAATCTTTTCCCCAAAAAAAGTTATAAACCTGATTTAAAATGAATTCTTAAGAGATTTTTTTTTGTGGCATCTGTACATACGTATCTTGTGTAACTCAAAAACAAGTAGCCTCAGAAAGTTAAAATTTTGGATATAGGACTGCTGTAACATGTAGATGTGCACCTCTTGTTTTGGTTGCAATCAGATGCACCAAAAAACAGTATATAACTATATGTATATATATATCCACTCTATTACTCAGTCATCTCAGTTTCTTTTTTCTTATATGTTTTTTAGTTGCACATTTTTTGCTTTAAAAATGATAGAATTATGTTGTTCTTATGTTCCGGTTAAATGTTTTTATGCCTTTAGTATAGCTGCATGCAATATTTGTAGAATTATCAACAATTTAAAAGTTGTTTAAGTGCCGCTAAGCCTATACTATTTTTATAGCAGCCATATTTGTTTACATTTGAAACTTAGTAGAATAGCGGATTTGTTGCCAATCTAGAGAAACTAAGCTTTGCAACAACAAAAATAACACCTTCTTTTATTATTGCGAATTAAATCATGTTTAATCCATTCTGGAATTTATTCGAGAAAATAAGTATTTAGATTTACTTCGTAATTTTTAATATAGATATTTTAAGGTTTTACGAATTTTTGCCTTGTCGTGAAGTGAGAACTGAATTGAATGAGAAATCTTTCTTTCTTTTGTTATCGTTTGCTTAATTTTTTTTATACATCGTTTTAGATTTATTATAGTATTTGAATAGAACATGTGGCAATGATTAGATAACTCTTCAGATGATTTAAATTTTGTTCATTCTGAGTTATAAAATGAATGAGATGTAATGTTAAGTGAAGTTAGCGCCAGAGTGTCGCTATGGTAAACAAATATAGTGAATTTTAAAGAGTGCATTAATTCTATTATGGTTTATGCACTATCGAGGAAGTACATTTAATTCATTCCAATAAGTTTAAATAAAATGCAAGAAAAAATGCGTACAATTTAACATTCCGTACAAGAAAGTCATGTGGTGTACACATCAGATTTTTTCTAATAAATGTCTGATTTCATGTCCATTTTCACAAACAGTATTTTTATTTTAAACAATAGTAGCAAATAACTAACTTTTGTCTATAAGAATAATAAATGTTACTTTATTGAATCTACCATCCTTCTATGTCAAGATCTGCCATCTATTGCCATCCATAACGAGCAGTATAATTTTTTACAAACTTGTTATTGGCAGATGAATGTTGCTAAAAGATATCCAATTACAAGTAGTTTTTAAGTTAATTGAGACTAAAGCAGAGTTTATAAAGTGAGAGTTATTTTCTCATAAAAGGAAATGAGGACATTGGTTCTGAACATTATGAATATTCAGTCAAAAGACAAAGAAATAGGAAAACATTTATCAAAAAACAAACAATTCAACTTTCTATAAATCAAAATTAGTTTGACAAAATAATAAAAAAAAAAATATGATCAATGCTGAAAATGTGTTTAATTTTGGTTTTCAACAAATGGGGGTTTTTAATTTTTTTTTTTTTTTTTTTTTTTAAAGGCTTGGAGTGTTATTTTGCTTACAAAAGTGCTGTATCTATCTCTTTCCCCCCCTTTTTTTGGCAAATTTGACAATGGCAAGCATATGAATTTCTCATATCTGCAGTAACCTTTTGTTCACAATTTGATACTTGAGAGGGGGGATTATGGCCATTTCAGTCTGTTTGAAAGCTTTTAGTCCTTTAATTGTAAATGTTGCAGTGGGCATTTCGTTTTCTTTTCCCTCCTCTTGGTTTATGTTTTACGAGATGCCATTTGAGGCAGCTCTTCGTTCAAAAGTTCACTACTGTTTGCTTTATGATCAGTTATGTCACTGTTTCGTTTTTTTTAAAACTTTTCAGCAGTTTGCATAATTGTTTCAGTTTCATACTGAATCATTTCTTCTTGTTCAAATTCTTCAAAATTCTACTCTCAGTATGCTTCGTTATTTTAATTGCATTAAATTTTTGTTCAGAATTGTTTAAGAGTAGGCTCCCCTTCAGTATTCATGATTTTGATAAGAGAATAAATGTTTCATGATTTAAACGTTACAACATTGTCTTGATCTGTAGACTGAAGATGCATGGTTGTATTGTGGGGTAAAGATATTGAAAGGATGTAAAATCAGTCTTCAAAAAGTATGCAGTGTCTCCAAGGATTTTTATTGGCTTTCCATATAATTAGAAGATTGGTTTCCAGCATTTTTTAGTGCTCTTGGGTTTTCTGACTTACAAACAAGCAATGGTTTTAGTTTGTGACTGACACTGATGATTCTTCTTTAGCAGTTAGCTCCTAGATGACATTTCCCCCCCCCCCAGAATTACCTGGTTATGTCTGCATTGAAGAAATTTGAAGGTATGGTAATTTTCTTCTTCAATTAATTCTTCTAAATTTTTTGGGAAATATTTTGCTGCTTCAGCTTGCAAATAAGTCTTCCTGTAGTGGAAAAACCAGCTATTGCTTGTGGCTAAAGTTTCGTTTTAGTCCTGTTTTCCCCTCTTGAGCATTTCAAAAATGAACTTTTGTAAAAATTATGTTATATCCAACAAGCTTGTTTAATTTTTGTGTTTGGTAGCTAATCCACATGGTTAAAATCTCCATTTTGGAAATTTTGATATTGTCCTTTGTTCATTCATGCAGAATGCAGACTGCACATACTTAAATATTGAATGATATTCTCTTTAAAATTGAGCAGATAATTGAAAAGCCCAGTGAATATCTGTCACAAATGATTGTGAAGGTATTTCTGGCTTCGTGTTGCTTTATAATTTAATACCTTTGCTCTAATGGTATTGCTTTTTTTTTTTTTTTTTTTTTTTTTTTTGGATGCTGTGTTGTTAGCATTTTTTGGTCATAGTGATAGTTTTATATAAAAATACAAAGAATGTAAAGAAAAAATTTCAAAGACAAGGGATGGGTTGCAACGAGATGCTAACAGTAAAAATCTGAGTGTGACACTGAGTTTGGGATCTGTGCAGCAGCCAGCCTGATAAAGGGTGGCTGTAAAGGGTTGGCAAGATCTCACCAATATAAATTTTCCATTTGATTTTCTTTAAATTTGTATATGCTAAAACTGCCACCATCTGCTAGATGCCCTCAACAGTGTGTCAAAAGAAACATTCCTGGGAATATTTAATTGGTTGATGTTTGTAAAAATGAGTTCTTTGACAAAGACCTGTGCAAAGTATTTGCACCAGAATTACAAAATATCCTGTGTACATAGCTTCCAGCAGGATAGTTTTGGCTGGGAACCTTCTTTTTTAGACCAGTGCTGGGGGGAAACTTGTCCAGTTGAAAAGTTTCTTCTTGTATTACTAGATATATCCCCATAATGTTTCATCAGTTGCATTTTATTCTGCATAAATTTTTATTTTTCACGGAAATTCCAGTAAAGGTAGAAACTGAATCCTGAATTTATTTTTATGGATTAATTTTTAAATTGGTATGCTAAACATTTTAAGTTTTATAAAATATCTGATAGTGTATTAGGTTTACATTTTACAAAGCTTAAGATCTTACTTTGTATATTTAAGTGGAGATCTTTTTAAATGGTACAAAACTATTATGCATTTCTAAAAATCACTATTAAATTTTGTTATGAAATTATTTTAATGTTTTCAGATGGCAAGTTTTTTAAAATTTTCCTCCCCTCTTCCCTTTTGAGAAAGTGCATTTTGAACTTTCATAATTCAGTCATGATTTTCCAATGAATTTGCAATCTGAAAATTGAATCATTCTCCCATTAAAAAGTTTTTTTTTAATAAATCATATTTTCAAATTCTTGTAAAGTGATATATTTGCATACAAGCATAGCTTGGTAAATGCTTTGCTTTCCATTCGAAAAGAATACCATCCATCTATAAAAGTCACTTCTTAATGTAGTGTGTCTGAAATATATCATATTATGAGTAAAATTTTGACTACAAATCCATAATGAAAAATGTGCTAATTAAGGCAGAACTACATTGTGAATTTTTTTGTGCTTTTAGTAACAATTAAGAATTTTAATCTGTCTATAAAAAATTTACAAGTTTCACACTTTTACTATTAAACGTAATACTTTTTAATTGGAAGTGGTGAAATTTAAGCCTTCATAAAGAAAAAAATGGGAGAATTAAATAATACTATAGAACAGTTATCAACTGTATTACATTTAAAATATGGCATCACAGCATTTCTAATAATTCATTTAATAACTGGCTTAAACTTGCGATTCGTATTCTAGAAAGTGAATCTTAAGAAAGGTTGTATATTTATCAATAAAGCAAAATTAAATTCAGTATAATCACCTGTTATTTCAGTGTATAAAAGATTCATTATATTTATCATATATATAGTATAACTTCATTCGTATTCTAGAAAGTGAATCTTAAGAAGGTTGTTATTTATTAAAGGAAAATAAATTTCACCTTTATTTGTATAAAAGATTCATTATATTTATCATATATATATGTAATGAAATTGCGGTTCGATGACACAAGAATGATTTTGATCATGAAATGTGGTGGCACAAACTTGAATTAAAATTTTCGGTGAAACAGGAATTTTTCCATGATTCACTGTGACCATAGAATAGCAAACCCGTGCAGATTTTTTCATAATTAGAACTTGCCAAAAAATGTAATATAAGCACAACATATTTGAATACTCAATGACGTCTAACTTTTAAGAATGATGAATTTGCAGATATTATTTTACAGAAATCCAACTGAGGAATAAATGTACCATTGAGGTTAGTGGCATATAATCCAATCCTGTTGGGCTAATTAATATAATATTAGCACAATTTTTTAAAAGCACCAAATGTAAGAACACTGAGATGTAGATGCGTAGCAATGCTGTTGCAAAGATACTTGATGCTTAGAGCATCCATCAATTTTGATGAAGAAGCAGTTGAGCCGGATTAAATTCCATATTATTTTAATTCACGTTTTGTGGCCACAATTCTTGACACTCCGATCGTGCCTGTTTCCAGAACAATTTTGATATTATTGTGATGTAAGTGATCATTACAGCACATAGAGGATTGCATTAAAGTGTCTGGTCATGAGGAAAGCAAAAGGGAAGAGTGTTGCAGTAGTAATGCAGAGGAAGAGGGGAAGGAGTGGAAACGTGTCAGGTCGAGTTAGTTTTGGTTTACAATTATTTTGATTAGGCAAGAGACATCTGCATTAAGCCTTACATAAGATCGCATGATTTATGTGAATGACGCAGTTTAGACTACAGCGTTATTTTTAGGACAGAGAGATGAAGTTCCCAAATGAAATAAAAATGTTATAATGAATTAAATTTTGAAGTTCGTTTTCATATTTTTATCTTACACATGTGCAGTTCTCAAAGGCCAGTTACCTTATGTAAGGAACGGAGGCCTTTTCAAGTAACTGCCTAGGCACGCAAAGCCTCAGGAACGGTGAAACCATAATTTCTGAAAATGTTACTCCTATTATATATGGTGTTAAACTATATGGAAATTAGTATCAGAAATATTTATATGTTACATTTAATTATAAGTAATGATTATTTAAGTTTTTATTTGTGATTTGTCTTCCCTAAAGAACTATGATTATGTAAACTCTCAAACAAAAAGACTTTTTGACTAAAATGCTAAGGACTCTAAAAATTAATTTTATTTTTTAAAACTGATATTTATACATTATACTTTACAGTTATTTATTTAATTATTGCTGGTCAAAATTTTATGATTTACGTTTTTCTTCATTTCTAGTGCTTTGACAAGTTTTCTTTAAAAAGGCTTCTCTGTCGCTACGTCTTTTTCTCCTTGAAGGGGGGGGGATATGTAAGAAAAATAAAGAATATCTGGTGGATCAAATTAGCAGCTTAAATTCCCTTCTGTATTCTAAAAATAGTAACCTCTATTTGCTCTGTGTCATTTCTAGATTAATCCATGTCATATGACTCTTACATAATTCTGGCAATGTTAATGGAACTAAAACTCAAGCAGCCAATAGTAATTTTACAGTAATATTAACTATCCAATCAAATTCATTGAGAACCAAAACTAACTCAATCTGAAATTAAGATTTCACCATGAACATAACGCACTTGCTTTCTATGCTTTGGCCTAGCTGGACTGCAGTCTGTTCCTCCTTTCTTACTGCAAAATTATCTAAAATGGAAGCTATTTGCAATGGGCACAATTAATGTGTCAATTTGTTTGTGGCCGCAACATGCTTGCTGAAATAAAAAATGAATATTTAATTTGCATTCGCTTTCAGTTTCCTATTCATTATGGATCAACACTTCTACACTATCAAAATTTCTGCTAGTCATTACATCTGAGTTTGTTTTTATTACATAAATTAAATGGTTAAAAACTTTTAGTATACATAAACATAGATTTCAATTTTTAAACTATAATGAAAAATCTGATCACTTGTTTTTTTTTTTTCCTAGCACTTTTTTTCCCTCATTAAGAAAAGAGTAACTGAGCACAATAATTTTTTTATTGTAAAAATACATTTATAAATTCAAAAACAATGTATGTCAGTAACATATATACAATATGTAAAACTATCAAAAATAAGAATTTTATTTTTACATTTCAATTTTATCAAATTTATATCAAAGAGAAAACTTAGGAAGTCTTAACAATATTTGTTTAGAAGTGCAGGGAGGAAAACTATTATTTGAAAAATTTTATCAATGTATGTTTATATTAAAAATATGAAAAATTTTTATGTAATGATGCACAATAATGTAACATTTGGGAATGCATTGTGCAATATCATTTTCTGCGTAGAAACACAAGATGCCAAATTGTTTTAAATTCATGACACTAATTTTTGTACATAATATACTTTTTAAATTAATTTATAATTGACTATAGACTAGTGAAGCATACATGCATTATGATTTGTGAAACAAATGCACTAGTACACTAGTCCTTTAATTCTATATTGTAATTGCACTTCCAAGTAAAAATGAAAAACTATATAAATGCCATATTTGAGATTATCATCAATACATAATATCTTTAATTCTTGATTAAAGCTTAACATTATATATTAAAAAAATTCTTTATCAAAAATTAACAATGAAAGTAAAATGATATGTTATTCTTTCTTTTTGGCAATCAAAATTCATAAATTTGATGTATAAATTGCTTTAAGTGAATTACATTTTTGGCAATAAAAATGCATCTCCATGCTTAAAAATAAAGACTAGATTCATTAGTTTGACAATGTCTAATTCCTGGCAGTGTTCCAGTCCTGAAATTAACATTTTACAACACTGGAAAACAATATTTTACACATTCTGTTTACGTTAATAGAATATAAATAGGCTATTACTGCTCTTAAAATAATGACAACATCATTTTGTATGAGACAAACATTTTTCCTAATGACTGTCTTGCTCTTTCAGACCATGCCAAAAAGTACATGATTCACAGACTAGATACATTAGTTTTCATTTCCAATAAATGAGCAGTATACTTTTGACACATTAAATAAATACAACCATTCTTTACTAAACAGCAGAAACAAGTTAGTATTCATATTACAACCAAAATCCAGGAAGGCACTTTTTTTTGCTAGTTTTAAACTTTGAAATAGTTTTTGCAGAATATTAAAATAACTAAAGAAGTCAGTTTCATTTTAATTTTATATTGCACCAACAACTTTCATCAAACCATTTGTCGTCATCGACTTTGGTCTCTCAATTGGTAATCCTAAGGCACGATCCCAAATCAGAGATGCCATTGTTCCTAAAGATCGAGACACTCCAAACAGGACAGTGTAGTATTGCATTTCCTTCATTCCGTAGTACTAAGGATAAAAAAAATATATTCACTTTTATTTAACATATTAAGTTATTTTTAAAATTTAGATATTCATTAAAATATGACATGCATTAAAAACTGAGCAATATATTTCTATAGTACAAAATCACAAACTTCATGATTATTTGCCACATTGGAAGCACTTATGTGTTGTAAAAATTGTTTTGACATATAGAAGAATGAACAATGAAAGATCTCTGCAGATGTCCTGTTGTATGAATATATCACCAGTAATTTAAAAAATTTTTAACTTACAAGAAGATATACAGATGATTAAACTTGCTACAGATTAAACATTTTGTTCCCAAACATTTGATAGATGCTTGAATAGGTCTTATCTGATAAATTAAAATGACCAAAACGTTAGTTTGAGAAACATGGTAAATTCACTGCAATCACAAACTAAATGAGAGTTTGAAAGTGTATATTATTCTAAAGAATGGGACTCTTTTAGAGAATATCAATGTAATAAATAATGAATCCCATTCATAGTAATGATTGTATAGAGATGTTAAACTGAGGTTTACACAAGTAATTAGAATGAAGCTGTATCAGCTGAATATTCACAAAATTTCACTTTTTCTAAACTGATTCATGTAAATGAAGTAAAAATATCTATATATCCACATGATGATTTTCAAACAATTTTTTATATTTAATGTGTTCATTGCAGGCACTTCTCGAAACAAATAAGGCAGAGGAAAGTATTTCCATAACAATAATAATTTATTGCATTGTTATTACTTCTAACACTATGATTACAATTATATATAATTTGTACCATTATATTGTTTCTTTTTATTAGTACTAAAAGAATAAATTAACTTTTCACATCGATTTCTGATAGTGATGAATTAATTTCAAACATTGATGAATTTTGGCCATGCAACTGCATAAGTTATTATTCTTTCATACTTAATCTGTCTGCTACTAATAAACAAACTAAACTATTTAAAATCAATAGATGCAGTCCTTAAAAATCTGTCTTGGCTTAATCCTAGTATACGGCGTACACCAGATTTGGCGAAAAAGTTTACATTTTGTATTCGTGGTTTTTGCAATTGTTTGTGAATAGGTTACTTTTTTTTAGCCCAAAGGGTGTTAGCCCAGAAGGGCTATTTCATTTTGGCATTTTACATCAAAAATTTTAAATGCCTGTTTCACTTTTCAAATTGTTGCTACCAAATATTATCGCCCTGTGTTATATTTAAAAAAATTAAATAATAAAGAATCTTCATAAATATATATATGTTTCTTGCATTGTGATAAAACAACAGTACCTAGAGCCATAAAATTTTGAATAACGTAATTCTGCACAGAATATGGGCATCTGGAAGCCCTAATTTGGAATTTGTTTTATTATTGATTGCATATTTTTTAACACTTTAACAAACTCGAAACTTTAAAAGCTAGCAATGGCAACACTGTACGGGGGAAAAAACATTTTTATCTCCAGTGTGCGAGACTGTGCATCGAAAATTCTAAAGATATGCTTATTTTAAAATTATTTTGCGATATTGCTGTTGAACTGAATTTTATGGTTTAATTGCAAAGAACATAATATTTAAAAAAGAAAAGTACACAAAACGTTAAAAAGTGTGTCTCTGGGCATAATGTAAAATCTGAAAGCTTTCACATTTTTTTCAAACGAATATTTTAGGACACTTAAAAAAAACTAAAAGAAAATATATGTTTTGTTTGTAACATATGATCTGATATTGTCTGACCGTAAATTACAGAATGTTCAGTTGATATAATGCCTTGGCTATTTGCTTTTACCAATAGAAAGTAAAGCAAACATTAAAATGAAAACAACAATGAAAAGATTCTCTTCTCCCCAATTATTTAGTTTATTATTCTACAGCCTATTTCTGTTTGCATACTTTTAAGCATAAAAGTGTTTAATACAACTTTAAATTGAAAAAAAATTAAAAACTTCCAAATATATAAAAAAAATTTTCATCAAAATATTCATGTAAAATCCAATAACTAAATAAAACTGGTGAATGTGTGAAATAACAGACTACACAAACATTCTTTTCAAAAACATCGCAAAATTTCATAGATTCTCTTAATGCATATCATTAAATAATAGAGCTATGTATTTGAAATAATTTAAATACTAACCTGCAATAAAATACCACTATGTGCATCAACATTTGGCCATGGATTTTTCACTTTTCCTTGCTCTAATAGAATTTGTGGCACTATCTTATAAAGTTGTGAGACTAGTTTGAACATTGGATCATGAGGTAAATGCTTCAGAGCAAATTCTCTTTGAACAATATAACGAGGATCTGTCCTCCTCAGAACGGCATGTCCGTAACCTGGTATAACCTGATTGTAAAGATTAGTTATTAAAAAAAAACTTGATCTATTTTAACAATATATGAATATAAAAATATTACATAAAAGTAAAGCTTTTTTGAATCATTTTAATCAAATAAATTGACTTATTTTAATGAATTATCAAAACTTCTATGGTTATGCAAGATTGTTTTAATATGTTACTACTTTTATGCTTTAATTTTGTTATCTAAAAATGAAATTCATACATGGTAAATTTGTTCACCATAAAAAATGAAGTCTGTGGTAAGAAACATTTTAAAATTAAATTTGATTACTACTTATTCTTATATGTAAAAGTTTCATTAACTTAATTATACTATGCAATTATATTTTGCTTATTTTTTCCTAACTATTTAGAAGTAATTATACTTTTATATTGGTGTAATGTGAAAAAAAAAATTGTTCATTACCTGACCACTTTTTAAGGTGTTCCAAATAAACTCTCTTACTCTATCTTCATTAAAGTCATCTTCCAATTGTTCCTGAAGTTTTGTCAACCAAACAAGGACTTCCTGTAAAAAAATTCTGATTAAGGATTAGAATTAATTTAGAAGTCAAACAACAAAAATCAGCGTTATATTTTTCAAATTTTCACAGGACTAGTTTCGACGGTTTTACCAAACCATCATCTTCAGCTGCAAAAGCGCAAATGAACGAGATAAGATAAGAAAGACTGGACAGAAATTAAGCTACTGACGCCATCTGTTGATGAAACGAGAACTAAAACATAATTTCTTTAAAGGCTGAAGGCAAAGATGGATTGGAATTAGAGTCGTTAACTAGTACAGAAAGATTTTTTTGAATGTGAAATGCATCTAGGAAATCCAGTTCACCAATGGAAGATGTTTTTTGAATAATTTTGGCTGCAGAAAAATTAAAAGTGTGATTTTCGGACCAACAAATGCTGGGCAACAGAAGACTTCTGTGTTTACTTTTTTCTAACATATGCCTCATGTTCCTTAATGTGAAATGTTAAGGCTCTCTTTGACCAATGTAAATTAAACCACACTGGCAAGAAATCCTGTCAATACCTCAGAAATTAATATCTGGAATAGGGTCCTTGAGTATGGAACTCAGAATTTTATTGATGGGGGAATAAACGACCCCAAAGTTAAATTTCTGCTGATTTTCCTAATTTTTGTTGTTTGACTTCTAAATTAATACATGTTTGGCATGTTATTGTATCTTAATTATTAAGGAGCAGAAGTTATGAGAAAAATATTAAAAATGGATGATAAAACATTTCAATGATAATAATAAGGATTCTCATACTTCAGAAACCTAATATTTCAATAGGATTATTTGATATAGAATTTGGTACTCTCCTGTTATCAGGGCTAGATTCAGAAGTGCATATATGTATGCACATGTGTATGTATATGCATATATATGTACATATATAATTGTTTCCAAGAAAATAGTAAAGTTAAATTAAATTTAAATAATTCTCTTGTGCCATTGCTGCAAGGAATGAAATTTGAATTTAACAAATATTCTATATTCGTATAAAGCAAATATAAATTAAGAAATTTAAATTGCAAAGAAATAAAAATAATTCTCATTGCTGCAAACTAATTTACAATATCATTTAAATTCTAAGAGCATATGTAAATTAATTGCACGTATCTAAAACCATAAAAAATATATTATTCCAAAAAATTGCATAAGTGAATAATTGTTCAGCAGGCAGGAGACAGACTTATCAAGGGGAAGTAGCCCTAAACCCAACTCTTCAATTACTCAATTCATGTTTCGTCATCCATACAGGTAAGGGTAAAAGTAAAATTCAAAACCAAGAGTAAAACCCAAAGTTGTGAATTATTAAAAAAGAAATTTAAAAAATGGAATTTTGATAAAATAGCAAGTAAATGACTACAGTTAAAATTAATTAAAAGTCAATAAGAGTAGAAAAGCAAATTTTTTAGAAAAAGTAATTTAGAATTGCCTACTGGAAACTTTCCCAACATGAATTATGCATGTAAACCTAAAAGAAACTATATACAACTATCAAAATATAAAAATAATAATAAAAATAAAATAGCCTAGTAAATAGCATGTTTTAATTTAACTTACCTCAATCTACATATTTGAATTTTTGAGTTGTATAAACATTTGCTAAACTAGTTGAGTTGAGTAGTTTGTTACTGCTAATTGTAAAAAAAAAAAGAGGGCTCTACATGCATACATGAACACATACATACATATATTTCTGGACCCGGTCCTGATAACAGAACAGTACCTAAAATTTAACCAATCTGAATTTATCTTTTTGGTGATTAATTTTAAACCATAAAATTTCACAAAATCAAAATAGTAATATTTAGGTATCCCAAATTGTGAATAAATGTTAGCTAAAGAAATATGATGTAATGGCAATTATTATATTTATTCCAAACAATGTCATTTATTAAACATACTTCTAATGTACCAAAAATGTTTTTGGATAATTTTATATATTAAGAATATGCAGATTTAAAATAAAATTTTTAATAAACACTGATGAGTTCTGAAATTCTAATAAATATATATATATATGTATATATATATTTTGGCCAGCTTGATCAATCCTTTGTCATTTATTCTAACATTCCTCTAAAATGACCAACTACCGTTCTTGATAACTTTGGTTTTCTGTGGGATAGCTGCCCTATACTGGTAAAAAAAAAGCTTTGCAAGTCATCTTACTAAGAAAACTGTATATTGATATGATAAATTGAGAAAAGACTTTTTTAAAAAAAAAAAAAAAAAAAAAAAGTTATGCCAACACGTAACACTTCATCAGAAATTCTAAACATATGCTGCTTTTAAATTTTCTGCAATTTTGCTGTTGAATTGTATATGGCATAATTTGGAAGAAAATGATGCTTAATAGTAAAGCTACAAAGTTTAATATTAATGTGTTGACTACTAAACATCATTAGAAGTTCTGTTATATTTTATACTGTTATTTAATATTTTAAAGCATTTCAGATAAAATTCTGGGACAAAATTTATATTAAAGGACAGATAGAAAGGATTCTTTTCTCTGTAACCGGGAATTGTTCACTATAATATATTTTCATCCGGCAGATTTTAATATAGGTATATTGTGTATAAATAAATACCCAAATTTTAAAGTGAATGCATGAATACCTGATTCTTTCTTTCTCATACTCATTAAGATATGAATATAACATTGTCAAATAAATACTTAAAAAGCCCTCTTTCCTCGAATCACACAGGTTAAAAAGTAAATTTTGCTACTATTAAACATACCTGATTGGCTAATCCATGAAGAGGCCCTGCAAGTCCATTGATTCCAGCAGCAAATGATAAGTACGGGTCTGACAAAGCACTTCCAACTAAATGAGTAGTATGGGCACTTACATTACCACCCTCGTGGTCACTTAGAAAAGAAAATATCTTGAAATAACTATTTACTTTTCATAAACATATGGAAGAAGTGGTAATTAAACACATTTTGCGCTAGATACCATTTAAAGAAATTAATTATATAGAAAAAAGTTACAACTTCGAGAAAATAAATGCTTTTTAAAATCAATATAATGCATGATAAAAGTATCCATTTTTGATATAAAAGTGCTAAAAAAAAGCACGATTAATGAGTGAACAAATCTATAGCATAGAATGCTTTTTTTTTTTTAATAAAATATAGTGCTAAATATCAGTTTGAAAAAAAAAAAAAAAGCACGAACAAAATCTAATCTATAGCATAGAATGCTTTTTTTTTTCTTTCTGCAAAAAGAAAAGAATTTACTCCAATTTTTCTTTCAGGACTTACGATTAATAAAAAGTTATTATTAATATATTTAAATAATAAATTTATATCAAATTATTATCATTAACATATACTAGAACCTTTTAAAAATTTTAATTCGCAAATGAGAAAAACAAATGAACAATAAACAGTACATAAATAAATTTTTATTAATAAGTACATAAATATAATTTATATAATTTATTTATAATTTTATTAATACGTTTACACATTTTTTTAAAAATGGGTTTCCTATACTGTACTTCATATTATAAATGAAAATACTACTTTTTAAATGGTTTATCTTTTGACTCTTCCTTTGAATTACCTATTAATTAGCATCTTCAGATACTAAACAAAGAGAATATTTCTTAAAAGTTAAGTATATTATTTATTTTTACTCTTCTTTCACTGCTTTCTGTTCATCTAATCATTCTTCTGTCTACACTTAAGAAGCACTGTTTTGGAAATATCCCATTGCTAAAACATCACGAAGTTTTGAAGAAATTTGATCAAAAGTGAAAGACTTGTCTCTTCTGCCATTTTTTCCCCCAAGCAATTTAGTGTTATACTTGGATGTGTAATTGATTTAATTTACTTGGTTATGGTAGAACACATGAGGGCTCTCTGCCTAAGAGTAGGAATGCCTCTGTGGAGATTTCTAAGGAAACTGGCTTGTATTCATGTTACACACAGGAATAATCATAAAATGCCCATGAAGCCAGCCCATTCATTTGCTGGGATTTGAATTCTGGTCAAATTGCCAGTGTTTGATTTTACTGCTTGGCCACTGGTAGGCAGACGTGGGGATAGTAATTTTATTGTTATGGAACTGCTGACAACACTCAAAGAAAATATTTGGTCTCTTGTTGAGAGAGGTTTTTTTTTTTTAAAAAATTTTTAAATCAATTTTATGTGTCTGCCTTCTTTGGTAAGTCTTTTTTATTAAATTTATTTAAACAATCTAGTATTCGTAAAAAAATATCAAATATAGTCATAATGGTTTTGGCAAGGTGTTCTGCAACACTTCATCAAAATGAATAAATTAAGTCTCCTTTAAATGAAAAAATTATCATAAAACTTTATAAAAAATATTAATTTATTTATAACCTTTATTAATTAACTATGTAAGGTTAAAATTTCTGTTAAATGCTATAAGTTGCAATAATTTTCTACTCATTTTCTGGTTTTAAACACTCAAGTTTCCTTCTCACTTTTTCAGTGAAAATATATTAGTTAATTCAAGATTATGAATTATATAAATAAATGTATTCCTCTTTCCTTCTTGCGCTCACAACTTAAAGCCTGACAAACACTTGTCTGTGACGTTATCATCATGAGATGATTTGTAGGAGCTTTATTTTTTACCATGATATTTTCAACAACGATGCTTTTAAACTGCAGAGTTTTCTCTTTGCTTTCTTTTCTCCCCCAATGTTTTGTACCACATCTTCGCCTTGCGTTGTTTTCTCCACAACATTTTTGGTGGACACAGTTTAGATAAAATGCGATTAATACTATGCTATTTGCTATTTAATTCTTTGAATTTTAAAGCTGTATTTTGTTCGCTATCAACATACAGATATTTCAATTGCATTCTGAGTCACTAAATATCCTTCTTGCACCAAAGTTTTATACATTTGGAATAATTCTGAAAGTGTGTACCTTTTTTTAGATATTCATTATATCTCTATACGTAAAAGCATTGGATGTACATTTTCTATTTATTTCTAAGAATACTTACTTTGCATTTAGAAATATATATATATATATATATTATTTTTCACAAACATTTTAAGTTACAAAGAATATCTGTCTTTAAAAAGGAGACAAAGGGATGAGCCTAATAAATACTGTTTATAGCACACAATTTAAAGTAGATGATATTTAACTCTATTTATATGACAACTTGGCTTTAAAACGATGAATAAGTGACAGACAATTATATTGAGATGTCTCCCCTCATCATCAAAGTTGCTCTAAAAAATGTAAAGACTTTTATTATAAAAGTTCATAAATTTTATTATTGTTAATTTACATGTTTTATATATCACTTGTAACAAAGAAAGATAATACCAACCTGTGAATTGTTAGATAAAGTCTCATTAATTCAGTAAAATCAGGATCATCATATCCTAACATTTCAGTAAAATTATATGACCAATCTTTATCAATATCAACTGCACATATTGGACTACCTCCACGGTACATATTTTTGTATATGATAGCAGCAATAGTTGGCAGTTTTGCAATCATTTCCATCGCATCATCAAACACATACTATTAAAAAGAAAAATTTGTTCAAAAAATGAATTATTTTTAGCACAGGGTGAAAAAAATCAAAATTCATCCTAAAAAATACAGTGCATGCATAATAAAATATAATTAAGTATAGAAATATTCATAAGGTAATGCTGCTAAATAAATGAATAAAATACAATATTTTTTAAACTTTCTTTATGAAAATTAAACATATTTTAACATTTACATCAACACAAACACAATTGCATTTCCATCCTGTAAGGTATGGAATGATTGGTGACTACCTTTTCATCAATCTAACATGTAAAAAACAGTAGCCATTAAAAAAAAAAAAAAAAAAAAAAAAAAAAAAAGAAGGTGGAATGCTGAATGTTACATAAAACAGCTATGAATTAATGAAATTAAACACATAAGGAACATCCATAATGAAAGACATAAAACAAACATCCATAATGAAGCACTTAAAATTTCATAAAACAGTAACAAATTCACTTAATTAAAATGCAACATACACAATAAAACAATTAACTTTCTATTTTCTTGGTTTGTGTGTGCAGCAACTTGTTTTAACTTTATTAAAAAAAAAAAAAAAAGGGGGGGGGAGAACATAGTGAATACTCAGCATTGCAGAGCAAACTGGTACAAACTAACGTATTTTAACTTTAAAAAAAAAAAAAAGAGCATTAGAGAATTTTCTGCGTCACACAGAAACTTGGCACTGCTCTCTATGTACACACTGCCCTGTTTAAATTTGAAAAAAAATCAGAATTGCTTTTATTTGGAAAAACCAATATTTCAACATTCCTTTTTTTTTCCATACTCGCTGATAACTGCAGCAATGAGTAGTTGTACTCGGAGACGTTCCGAGACAGTAAGAAATGTAAGAATGACAAAACTTATTAGATATACATTCTTTAGACTGGCAATAAATAAAGCAAACACCTGTCATACACAATATTCAGCTGTTCTCAAACCAATTTCTTACTCGCATTCGAACACTTTGCTGGCAATCTTTAACAGTACACTTTTCATAAAATTTGATTATTTGCTTCATGGAAATTCCAGAATGATGCCCATTACATGCTGACACAATGTTTGTGCAACCATTAGTAGGTTGCCAAATAAAATACATGTTTGTTATATTCTGGGTTGACTACTCTGGCAACATAGTGCTTTGTCTGGTGATTCTTCTCATCACTATGTGGATAATGTGAAAGTAACTAAAAGATTTTTATATCATTTAGCAATATAAACATAATGCTATTAAAATAAAGAAATAGATTATTATTATTATTATTTAATAGCATTTCATTAATATTGTAGAATGATATAAACTTAGCAAATTAAGTTCAATGATTTAAAAATTATTTTAAGTTACTTTTGTGTTGCATTAATGCATAGCATGTATAGAAAATAATATCTGTGTGGTAAAATAAAAAGAATAAATTGGTTCAACAAAACCTTTTCATTTGACCACTCTTGAGCACTTATTCCACATAAATAACTATAGTATGGATATACTTAACAACCCCAAATACAAGTACAGTGAAATACGTTTAACACGAAAACGCTTAAGACGAAATATCGGTTAACACGAAATAATACAACGGTCCCGACAAACTACTATGTATTTTAATGCATTTTGTTTCTCTTAACGCGAAATAAAAATCGCTTAACATGAAAAGATATACTTTCTGGGAATAAACAAAATACGGAAAACATCGGCCTTGCAGACGAGATTTACGCGAGGTGTGAAATGAAAGAGCGGTGGTTTCACATGCTTCATAGAAAAGTCTCACTTGGCTTTGAAATACCCTCGGAATAGCCTGTGACATGAGCCAGTTTTTGTTTATCTAAGCTACTTTCACCTTCCACCCCTAAAACGACACACAAACATCTCATTTCTCGTCAGTTTTTGAAATCAGTGATGAGTACATCACAGTGAGTAAAAATCAGTGTTCATGTGTTGCACTCTGCATGTTTCTGTCTCTTCATATGTTGCTCTCTGTATGGAATTCAGTGACTCCAAGGATGAATGAAAATTGTTTTAGACATGCATGTCTATGGCTCATTCATGTTTCAGTCGATTGAAATTTTGAATTTTATCTTCATTTTTTTAAAGTTTTAACTTTTATATTAATCAATATTTTCCTATTATTTATTGCTCATTTACTGGTTATTACAGTTTCTTAAATTTTATGATGAAACATTTTATACCCTTTTGCTACTGTCTTAAAAATAGTATATGATATTATGAAAAGTCTTAATACTGTTGATCCCATAAAATACACAGTTATTAACTTTCAAGTACTTTTCTGTTGTTTTTCTTAAACTTCTGTTTTAGATATGAATTCTTTGCATGTTTACAAGATTCATTCAAAATCGCAACTACCTAATATGGAGATTTGACGAGTTGACTATTTTCTAAAATGCGCAAGAATACCCATTTGCCAAACTGGCGATTTTTTGAAAACACACCAAACTGGCCCGTAATATCCAGTTATACCCAGATTTAAAAAAATTATTCACCTTAAATTTAATAAAAAAAACTATTATATAACAACATTTCTTTTCACACAATCAGCATGAAATACGACAAATAATTTGTGAACAAATCATTAGAAAATAGCATGTCATAAAATACTGTCTACTCTGAAATTTCCACGATTATAAATTTAATGAATATACAAATATTTTAAAAATGACTTAGTATAATAAATCAGCAATATATATATATATATGACTTTTCTGTATTTATTCAATTAAATTGCCTTCTATTTCCACCATTCATGATCTCACAGTTACAGCCATTGCCATATTGAAAATTATCCGCGATCCTTCAGAAGCAGAACTTTCGTCTGGTTGATTTCTATATGGAACACAGCTGCAAACGAAACATTTTCGGAAAAGTTTCAAAATGTTCCTCATAGCCAGGACATCCGTTCTTCGGCTAGATGGAACATTTCTCAGAAATATTCCATTTAAACCAGTCCTACTAGAATCTCGGTTCTTGGAAATGTCCCACCTAGCTGCATGCATCACTAGATATGACAGGCCCTCAAGGGAACAAGTGTCATCATAAATTTGGTAAATCAATGAAAAAATTCTCAAAACATACACCATGAAAAGAAACATTTTTGAAAATATTAAATGTACACCTATTTTGGATAAGTTAATTAAAAACATGTTCAAGGTTAATTACAAAATTATTTTATGAAGAGAAAAATTTGAAATTATCAAAACATATTTTATTAAAACAAATAAAAATTAATTTAAAAGAAACAGCCAAATTCTGAATTATTTTAATAACAACATACTATTGTGAGTAGGAAAATATTACCTCCCATAGACTTGCTTTTGATACACCACTAGAATATGCTTTCAGGAATTTACTTTCAGTTTGACATGCCGTAATTGCAGCACTGAACTGAGACATGGGATGCAAATGGGAAGGAAAATTATTTAACATTGTAACAACATGAGGTGGTAAGTCAGCCATTTGTGCCCACTGTCTTGATACAGATCGAACCTAAATATAAGTACATAATACTATAAGTACACAACAATTACATGAATAAAATATTTTAATTAAATATTACAAAATTAATAATTAAATGAAAGGGAAAATCTATTTAAAATGTCTGCAGAATTAAACAACAGTATAATAAAATGATGCTGAATATATTTCTGATAATAACACAACATTTAACTGAAAGCTATCATGTCACAAAATTATACTGTAAGTATTTCAAATATGATCTATTTTCCTATTAATTAAACATATAAGATTTGGACTGTAACAAATACATAAAAGTTGCATTTATAATATACTAATAAAAGTCAATAACTGAGAAAAAGCAAAACATACAAATTTCAACTTTACTTCGACAATGAGGTCAAACAAAAAAGGACAATGCATTTTGAATGTTAATTTAATGTATTTCTTCATCACTCATTAGACATTCATTATGAAAAATACACTATGGTCTTAATTTTAAAACTTAATAAAATGTAATATATATATATATCAGTTATAATAATTGATTGATTTGAATGCATAAATTGCAAAGTACAGGAGTACTAACCTATGTACAGTAGTGCCTCACACAACGAACTTAATTCGTTCCATGAACAAGTTGTTATGCGAAAAGTTCATTATGCGAAACGCGTTTTCCATAACAATACACGTTAAAAAAAAATAATCGTTCTGTAGCATAAAATATGCTAAGATGACATAAAAAAGATAAATTTTTTTGTTTTATTTTTATTAGATACATCTAAAACATAATTTAAAAAAAAACCACAAATTTTTTTTTTAAGACAGACTAAGTAGAGTCTAAAGAATCTTGCACATCTTCATCCATTCTGCTTTTTGGCCGATGGTTCAAGAAAACCTGTCATTTGTTTTTCTCTTTTTCTCAACATCTGCCGGAAATAATGGACAAGAGTATCGGAGTAAAGATGTTGATCCTGTTTCTTCAGCTGAATCCGGATAGTGGGCATTGGTAACTCCTGAACTGCTTTCCATTGACCAGGATGTTCTTGTGATGTCAGCAGTTGGGATTGGTGACTGTTTGATTGTTGCGCTCGTTATCAGATGACGCTTCCCTTTGAGCATTGTCCTGTGCTGGACCATAAGTGCTTGGAGCTCGTCATTTTCAGCTCTTCTTCGTGTTGTCAATAGCTCCTCTAATCCTCTTCCTCTACCTCTAATTCCAACCTTTGGGCCACTGTAATGATCCTTCACTACTTCTGTGTCATCAACTACTGCTTCTTCCTGGTCTTCCCGAAGCACAAGCATCTTCCAAGCAGAAATGGATCTTTGTGACATTCTTCCCGGCCTTCTGTATAGTCGTATTGCCATAAGGACATCAAAACTGCCTGCAGTGCCTGCGCGGAAGGATGCAATACATCGGCAGCGACCGTGGAAGCTCGGGCGAAACAGTCGTGGAAGCTCGGACGAAGCAGTCGTGGAAGCTCAGGCGAAGCAGTCGTGGAAGCTCAGGCAAAGCGGTCGTTGAAGCTCGGGCAAAGCGGTTGTGGAAGCTCGGGCGACTTCGTTGTGTGAAACGAAGTTCATTGTATGAATCATGAAATGAAGTTCATTGTGTGCAGCGTTCGCTGTGCGAGGCACCACTGTAAAATCCTATCATTTTATCTCTGTTATTTGCAATGAGACTATTTCTTTCTTTCTAATTTTTTTTTGACAAAACAGCTTAAAAAATAGATAACTCCACAAAATTTAAAAACTTTATGACTGATTTGAATATATTTAACTACATATTATTTCAGTGTGTTTGAACGCCAACAAAAATATGATACATAGGGTACATAGCAATAATAAGTAATTTAGTATTTTTTAATGTTCATAAAATTTTAACATTTATTGGGAAAGTTTAATACTCACAGATTAACATAAATGTTTTAAAAATTCAGGAGATTTTTAACAATGGCAGATGAGCAGATTTATTTATTTATGCCAGAGTCTAGTGATTTAATATGGCACAAAAGTTTTAACCTTCATTATAAATATCTCAATCTTTTCAACAAAATCAAATTAATATAAAATTTAAATACCTGTTCTGCATTAGGAATGTCTTCAGTCAAAAGTAACCAAAATAATCCTTCAGGTAAAGGCTGTTCACCACCTGGAGCTTTAGGCAGTAATTTTTTTATCTGAGGAATGGTAAAATCCCGAAACTCAATTCCATCTTCAGGATCTAGATGTGAAGTTTCAGTGACTAGGCTCTTCATACCTCTCATTCCACCATAAACCTTAAAAGAAAAACACTGAAGCTCAAATTTTGTTCTTATATGTTAAGAACTAATTTTGATAATAAAATTGATTAACTGAATAATTTACTATGGTTTAGGACACCTCTGGAATTCTTTATGAAGAATATTTTTAAGGAAAAGTATTTTGCATATATGTCATGCATAGGGATAACTATGAAAACACTTATGCAGCTAGATGATTTCATTTTCAAGAAATAAGTGAGAATAAAATATCCCATGTTTTCATGGCTTTATTAATTTAACTCAGACATTAGTAAGCTTTTAACAACAGCACTGCAGACAATACTGTATTTACTCAACGTTAAGTCCCACTTGAATATAAGGCCCTTCTTACATTCTAGGATAAATTTTAAGAAATAAAAATATAGATGAATATTTTGTCTCGCACTAATTCTAAAAATATGAATTCAGAATTTCTTCAAAATAACTGTCACATTAGCTACATTTAGGAGTACTGTTAGTGATACAGAGTTACCTATTTGTTTTTAAGCATGTTATTGACCAATATAGTAGATCTAAACTAAAACAGCCAGCTAAAGAAGGGTTGTTATGCAATTTTATTTTCGAGTAAATACAGTATCTAAAATTATGACATCAAATACATGCAGAATGGGTGGAAGATGAAATAATGTATATACAACTTGCATAAAATATAACAGCTTCTTTTGGCAATTTCCTCTATGAGCATTTTAGTTGCCTTATTGTAATTTAGAATCTAAAATATCTAGAACTTTTTTATGCACAAACTGATGAACAAATGTTTGTCTACTTTTGCATTTTAATCTGTTCAGAACTGGGAAAAAAAAAAAAAAAAAAAAAGTCTTATTCTCTAATGCCAGACACTTGCTCATTAACACAAGTTGGAAATGGTTAAACCCATTGGTCATTCTGATGTCTCATTACTGAGATCATTGCTCAAAGAACACCACAAAGAAGAGCAGATTGATATTGCACCCATTACAGGAGAGAAATATAGTGGCAGTGAAGAAAAGGTGGAAACCTAAGAACTAATGTAATTCCATAGATAACTGAATTACATGGCTATGATGAGCTATAAAATAAAAAATTGTATTTAAAATGCTTGATTTACAGCCACATGAACCTTTTAAAAAATGAAACAGGTCATGGTTCATCATGAAACATGAAATACAGTATGGATCAGATATTTTTTGTTAAAACGAATAAATAAGCAATAAATATCCACACATGGTACAGTGTTTTCTAGAAAAAAAAAAAAAGCAAAGATCAATATACAAAGCTTTCCCATAGTCTATTACTTTAAAACAGGAACTTCAGGGTCTTTTTCCACTGGGCGACATGCCTTGTAGCAATGGGAATGACAACTATGGCAGATGGTTGGTTCGAGGTAGCTAATTTTTTTCCCTCCATTCCATTTCCATTTAGCATCTTCTGCTTCATAAAAAGCATGCAAATGAAAGCCGATGTGAACTAGTCTCAAATGAAGTGGAGAAAATAGGTGCTTTCTGATGATGATAACAAAATGGTAGGGTAGAAATGGTCTTGAAGTGACAATTATAGAGAAACATACTACAATACAAAGTCTGTCATCTGGATGTCCATTACCCGGAATGATCTATAATCCGGGTCTCAAAGCCACAAACCTTTTTTTTTTAAATGTGTTTACGCATGCAAGTTTAATGTTTATGCATGCGCGTTTAGCACAAAAAACGAAGCAACTTAAACAACTTACATTGGAAGAAATTTTTAATAAAGTAAACAAATAAATATTAAAAGCTTTTTTTTTTTTTTTTTTTTGTAAATTTTGAAACCCTTTAGATCATAATTGCTCTTTATTTCATAAATTATGGTTTCATACTTTTAATTGTATAACTTCTGTATGCCATCTTACCAGATTTAAATTGCTGATCTATAATCCGGAAAAACCCTCAATCCGTAAGTCCCGACGAGTCCGGATTACGGACTTTGTACTGTATTATGTTCTAAGCTTTGTTCTCTTTTCTGCCTAACAACTTTCAATACATGGCTGTTATGAAAGGTAAACATTTTGTGAATTTTTGTCATGAGCAAGGAGGTGCACGATAAATTTTATAAGAACAAAGGGCTAATACATATATTTGAGATCTTGGATTTTTCTTGAAAATCATGATGATAAACATATTATTAACAGACACATAAAGAATTAAATAATTATCAAAACTCTATGTCGGAAGTGTGGCAATAACCAGCTATTAGTCAAGATAAATGGTTCAAAATAAACACAATTTTAAGCAACAAAGAAAAGAACATGATTCGATGAAAATAAACTGAGAATGTTTACAAATGGCATTTCTTATTTTTAAATATAAAAAACAAGATTTTTAATACAATTTTGCTAACAACTTTATGTGGCTTACGAAATCACAGACAAAATTCATAATAAAAAATTAAACAGTTATTTGTTTTGAAAGGCCTACAGGGGTTTTGTATTGCATTACATTGTAAGTACTGTATTGTATTGCTTTTTGTTATTACAGTATTTCAATTGTATTTTAACTAAAGCAAATGTGATTTACTAAAGCCTTCAATGCTGATTTCAAAATCGCAGATGCAAATGACTACAGTAAGAGAAAACAGCCGATTCCTAATTTCACAAATTTATTCAGGTTGGAAGGGTATTCTTACACCAAATTATGTCCTTCTTTTCTCGAAGCCTGAGAATAATATTCTTGTGCACATTTGCATTGAATACAACCCACCCTGTTTACAGAATTATTAAGCATAATTATTGTTCCTCTTATTCTTTGCCAATTCAGTATACCACTGTTTGAAACACTGGGGAAACTATTTGAATGAATGACTTCAAAAGATAGAGCATTTGCACATGAAGCTTTAAGGTTTCTTGATAAAGCAAAGAGTATGCATTATACAGGGAATATACCTAATATAGGAATATATAAAAATTAAAAAATATAGTCTGAAATTAAAAGTGCGTGTCATACACTGGTATGCAGTATACACTGTTATAGACCAATCTTTTTTAAGACATTCACATTCATTTTATCAGTCAATTTCATTTCTTTCTTACACTTAAAAGACTTTACTAGGAAATTCATTTTCATTACACATCTCTAACACAGTCTCTTCCTTTTGTTTGAAGTCATAAAAATATGGATGGTCACTAATACACATACAAGCAATTTATTCAAAGTCAGCCGTACAGAATATATTTAATATACATACATACAAGCAATTTAATAGAACATTGCATTTATCATTTTATTTAATACAATTCTGCAACAAATTTGTTTAAAAAACATACAGAAATACACCCAAAATGTATTTTGAACACAGACTTTCTAATCAGCAAATTTTAGCAATTGCTGCTGGTAATGTGGCAAACATATTGTTGCACGCATACAGGTTCGTAATAGATTTAATGCACAAGTCTGATAAAAGGTTAATAAAATTTATTCTTATTAATATATATATATAAATGGGTACTATTCCATTTTGAGGACTGTAAAAAAATTGCAGCAAAAATGTATGCGCAAAAGCACCAAATCTAGCAAACACGCCCATTTAACAGCATGCTAAATCTAGCGTACGTGCTGATTTCAGATAGCTTAAGTTTATATAGCTCTATTTTTCTTAAGACGGCATTGAAATGCTAGTTTAATTTTTAAATCCTTTTTTGATATCGTATGGATTTAATAATTTGGGAATTGCCCATGACAAAAAGTCTACAATAGAATTTTGGGTAAAGTTCAGAATCACCCACTGCTTGACGCATTTTTAAGAATTGCACATACTCGGTATCCATGTACACATTGACCTATTTTCACTTAAAAAAATCTCAGAATTGCACAAAAATGGCACTGTGCACCCTTGACTTTATCTTTGTACACATCGACCTATTTTCACTAAAAAGTAAAAGAAAATGGACAAAATTCCAATTGTTTTTACCCTTGTAAAAAGCAGCAAACAAATAAGTGGGTGATTCTGCACTTTACCGAGAATTTTTTCAAAGAAAAGGCATCATTCATTTTAGAAAATTATGTTTGAACAACCAACGAGATGAAATTATGCTTTAGTGATAACTCGGTAGCGAAATACTGATGCAGACATCCATTCAGTTATGTTCAGCAATTTTTATATAAATTATAATAATGATCTGAAATAGTTATTTACTCTTATGCTTTCATTCAGTCATGTTTAGCCTTATTTTATATAAAGTATAATAATAAAAAGTACTATATGAAATTAACTTTTCATCTAAATTAAAACATCAATCTTGGATAGTAATTTGCTATTATACTTCCTTTCTTGCGTTAAGGTTGCCACAATTATTTTTGGCAGCACTGGCATCAAACAACAGTTTGGCGATTTTTACGGTCCTCAAAACCGAATACTTATATATATATATATATATATATATATATATAATTTAAAGTAAAGTAAACAGAACAAATGATAAAAGACCTATGCGATCAAAAACTTTTCGCATTGTGCTGCAAAATTTAGAAAAAGGTTAAAAGAAAAATCCTAGTTCGTACGCTAAAAAAAGCTGCTGAAATACTGTGGTTCCGTGAAAACATTAACATAAGCAAAATTAGTTGCAATTAAATGTATTACAAGAGAAAAAAATACACCATTTGAATATTTACAAGTAAAAATCAATACGCTAAACTAATTAAGGTAAATTTAAAACTTTAGTAAAAGTACTAAGAAATTATTTGAGCAAAAATATAAAATATGTATAAAAACTAAGAAGTGGTAAATGGCAGATTAGCTTAATTCGAATCTCATTAAGGCACATCAGGGGAAATTATTTTTTAATGAATTTTGAATCAAGTTAACTCCATATCGTATTTCGCTGAAACAGACAATTGAAACTGTACGCGAAACATTTTTTAATGAATTAAAAAAAATTGTCAATATCTTTAGTCTCAATTCTCTGTTCCAATTTCCCGACGCGTCTGCTTGAAGAAACACATTAAGGAGTAATAAAGACAATAGAT